ATCGCTGTCTCACAGCTGAGTAAACCACGGGGCTCACGCTGAACCGCAAAGCCATGCTTTTCTTTCTGAAAGCCACCACTTTGAGCACCTTCTGTGGATTTTTTTTTTTAATTTAAGATTTTATTTATTTGAGAGAGAGAACGCTCTTCTGTGGATTCTTGCAGAGACAGTCAATGCATTTGAGACAGAGGCTGTTCAATATTTGTTTTTCCCCACAGATGATAGGGTACCCCGTCCTCTACACCGCCCCCCCGCACCTTGTGTGTTCCTCTTTAACAATATTTCTTGACACCCGATTCATTACTGAAACCTGCCCTCCACCCAGTTCCTCTGGGTCATTCTATTTGACGTCTCTCTGTGTTCCGTTCTGTGGATGTGGTTTGTTGACTGAAGGAATGAATTACTGGATAGACATATGTCCAGCTGAAGAATTTGGACTTTATCCCAAGGGGAGCCACTCAGAGGGTGGGGTGACCAGGTTAGAGCCATGCTTGGGAATGGTCTGGGCTCTTCTCAACTCTGGGGCTTTGCACGTTATGGGTTCCTTTGCCTGGAATACTCTCTCCTGGGCTTGGTCCAGCCACCATTTGCTATCCCAGCTGGGATGTCCCCTCCCCAAGGAAGCCCTCCCTGACCCCCAGGTTGGGTCAAGCATCCCTGCCCTGGTCGCTCTGCGTCATCACTTTCTGGGGGTGGGTGGTCTCCCTCATTGTACCGTGAGTCCCCAGAGGACAGAGCCAAGAATGTTTTGGTCGCCGGCACCACCCATCACAGGCCAAACACTGAGCTCAGAATAGATGATGGTCCCTTGAAAGAAATACCTCTGCTTGGGGAAGAGCCAACTGCAGGGGTAGCCATGGTGTCCCATAGGGGTGGAGGGCACAGGCTGGGGTCGGAGACACCTGAGTTCAAATTCCCTGCCTAGGTAGGGGGTTTGGGCCACAACGCACCTCATGTCCCCGGCTGCTTCCAAATCAGTAAAAAAGTAGAGTGTAAGGTCTCAAGGATGAGTGGAGATAAGATAACGCCTCTCTCTCTCTCTCTTTTTTTTTTGACTTTATTTATTTATTTGACAGAGAGACAGAGAGAGAGAGACAGCGAGAGAGGGAACACAAGCAGGGGGAGTGGGAGAGGGAGAAGCAGACTTCTGCGGAGCAGGGAGCCCGATGCGGGGCTCGATCCCAGGACCCTGAGATCATGACCTGAGCCGAAGGCAGACGCTTAGGGACTGAGCCACCCAGGTGCTCCGAGATAACATCTTTTCAATAACAGCATTTCAAACAAGGTAGACGCCTCTCCTGCCGCCTCAAGGCTTTACACCTGCTCTTCCTTTACCCTAGAATGTTCTTTCTGTATTGAAGTCTCCTTCTTGTCATGCAGGTCCCATTGCAAATGTCACCACCTCAGAGCGGCCCATCCTGACCACTCCACCTCTCTGCCATACAATGCTTCAGCTTTCTCCAGAACTTACCCTCTGGTAGGCTAAGGTTATTTCCCCATCTCCCCTCACTAGAAGGCTGGCAAGGAGTTTTGTCTTTCTTTCATTCTTTTCTTCTTTCTTTCTTTTTTTCTTTCTTTCTTCTTTCTTTCTTTCTTTCCTTTCTTTCTCTTTCTTTCTTTCTTTTTCTCTTTCTTTCTTTCTCTCTCTCTCTCTCTTTCTTTCTTTCTTTCTTTCTTTCTTTCTTCCTTTTCTCACTGCTGATCCCCACACTAAACAGCACTTGGCCCTTAGGAAGGGCTCAAGGAATATTTGTAGAACAAATAAAGTGCTCAGGGACTGGTCCCTCACGTTTTGTATCAAGGGTCACTATGGGCACACTCGAATTTATGCTCATGTCAGCTCCAGGACAAATGAGGAACCGGTACTCAGCTGGTAAGTGGTGGAGTCAGGATTCGAACCCATGTCTGTGTAGATTTAGTGCCCACACTCTCTAGCACACAACCAAGCACACGGGAGCTGGGCGGGAGTTTGTTAAATGAATACGACTTCAGCCTACAAGGGTAGGGGGCTTCCTGAAGTAGTTGAGGATGGGAGGACTTGGGAGGGGAGAGACATGGAAAGGAGGTCCACACCACATTCCAGTATGCCTGGGCAACACGTCTTCAGAGCTTGGGCAGATCTCAGCTCACCTGGCACCAATGCCTGAGATCCTCCAGGATGTCACCACAAGTTCTCGAAGCTCCTTCCCAAGTGGGTCTGGGGCTGGGGCTGGCAGTGACCAGGGCGGAGAGCTTACCACCAGGGCCCAGCAGCCCCCCAGAGCTGGTCTGAGCCCAAACCATGTTCTCCAATAACAAAACAGCAATTACAGGAATAGTACCAGTTAACTTTTTAAAGGGCTGACCTGCACCCTGTCTAAATGCTTTAAATATATGATCTCCTTCGATCCTCACAGCACCCGAGGAGGTGTGATCTATCCTTCTTCTTCCCATTTTACAGGTGTAGAGACTGAGACTCACAGAGGTTGTGACTTGCCTGAGGCTCCAGCAGCTGCCTCGGGAGGACGCTTCTGAGGTTATCACTGTCTACAGTCTTTGAGCAAATGCCAATGCGTGAAATGTCCTCAGAGAACAGGACAGCTGGGGAAGGAATTACGATTTCTTTTTTAAGATTTATTTATTTATTTTAGAGAGAGGGAGAGCGAGCACGAGCAGGAGGGCCAGAGGGAGAGAGAATCTCAAGCTGACTCAGCACTGAGTGCAGAGCCCCATGTGGGGCTCAATCTCATGACCCCAAGATCATGACCTGAGCAGAAACCAAGAGTCAGATGCTCAAGTGACTGTGCCACCAAGGCGCCGCAAGGAATTAGGATTTCAGCACTGCCGGGAGGAGTAGGGAATCGCGAATCGTGACTGATTCACTGGAAACGACTCAAATGACCAAGAAGGAATTTAGGGAGGCAACCCAATAGGTAGGGTTAGGAACTTGGGAGGCAGGCAGCAACTCCCAGCCTCCTCAGGTGTGGCCTCAAGGCACGTGACTTCCTCTGGCCCTAAGCCCCAGTTTTGGGCATCCAAAGAATGAGTATAACAATGGGACCCACCTCACCAAGCAGTTATGAAGATTCCAGTGAAATCAGGCCTATGCATTTGTCAAAATCAGCAAACGGCGCTTACAATCTGCATTTTATTGTATGTGTGTTTTACCTTAAGAGGAAAAAAAAGGGGCGCTTGGGTAGCTCAGTCGGTTAGGCGACCAACTCTTGATATCAGAGTCCTGAGTTCAAGTCCCACGTTGGTTCATTTCCAGCATGGAGCCTACTTAAAAAAAAAAAAATATATATATATATATATATACACACATATATATGGAAATATTTGGTGAAAGCATTTATAAAATCATTAGCACAGTTGTTAGATTGCATTCTAATTTTTAAGGGGTGAATTGTGAATTACATACCCAGGGGAAAGTGGATCATAATCTTAAACAAGAACTGTTATTGATGTGTCGGGTTCTGAACTGGGAACATTTCTTTAAAAACATTTTGGGGCGCCTGGGTGGCTCAGTCGGTTAAGCGTCTGACTTCGGCTCAGGTCATGATCCCAGAGTCCTGGGATCGAGCCCCACGTCGGGTTCCCTGCTCAGCGGGGAGTCTGCTTCTCCCTCTCCCTCTGCTCCCCCTGCTTGTGCTCTCTCTGGCAAATAAATAAAATCTTTAAAAAATAAAGATTTTATTTATTTGCCACAGAGAGACACAGCGAGAGAGGGAACACAAGCAGGGGGAGTGGGAGAGGGAGAAGCAGGCTTCCCGCGGAGCAGAGAGCCCGATGTGGGGCTCGATCCCAGGACACCGGGATCATGACCTGAGCCGAAGGCAGACGCCCAACGACTGAGCCACCCAGGCGCCCCCAAAAAACATTTTTTTAGATTTTATTTTTAAGTAATTTCTACACTCAACGTGGGGCTCCAACCTACAACCCTGAGATCAAGAGTCGCATGCTCCCGCAACTGAGCCAGCCAGGCGCCCCTGGAACATTTATTTTTTAAACTATTAACATTATTAAATAAATAAGTCCATCTAATTTAAATCTTACACCAATCATGTGTGGGATGAGTTTTAATAATCTGTATTTTACATTCAAGGAATTTGAGTTCCGAGAGGCGACAAAATATCGAATTTAGGGCGGAGGCACTGCAGGCTGGGTTGAGCCACCTGCGGCTCACTTGCTCTTTCTAGAGACCCTCGAGCGGGAGAAAAGTTGTGGGTTAACGGCCCCCACCCACGTCCGGATTCCTTTGGCGGGAAAAAAGGTTTCCCCTCGATGCCCCGCCCCCAACCGGGCCCCGCCCCCGCCCCTCCGGTGCCCCCGCCCCTCGACATTGCTAGACTTGGTTAGTCCGCCTTCTATGGGTGACTTGGCCAGACTCTGGCCTCGGCCCCACCTCTCGCTCGCAGGAGGGCTCCGAACGCGCCTCAGCCTATCCGCGCCTGCGGTTCGCTCCCCGCATTCTCAAGCCTCGCCCCTGCCCTTAAACCTGGAAGCTTCCGGCGCGTGGGCTCAGAGCCACGCGGCGCGCCCGCGAGCTTCCCCACGGGCCCGCCGCCGTTACCTCCCAGGGTCCCGGACCCCCGCCTTCCTCGCCCTAGGGGCCTGGATCTCCTCTCCTGGACTCAAAAGCCTGGCTCCCCTCTTCCCGGATCTCTGTCTCCCGCCCCTAGATTCAGGCTCCCCAGCCTTGGTTTCCAGGACCCCGGCACGCCGGACCCCTGCCTCCCGGGTTCTGCGCTCCCCGGACCTGACCTCTTGAGGACCTCTGCCGCTTGGACGCCTTCAGCCTTCCAGAGCCAAGGACCCCAGCTCCCAGCCTGATAAACTCCTGTATTCCCATCCCTGGGGCCGAGAAACCCAAGTGCTCCCAGATTTCGGGCGCTGGACACCACCTGGGAGAGCCGAAGAGCCTCAGCGCCCAGCTTGGGGATCTCAGACACCCCAGGAACCAAGGCGCTGTGAATTCCCAACTCCGGGGAACCTTCCAAAGTTCCAGCCTCCGGGCTGTGTTACAAAACTCTCCGTTCTAAGAAACGTCCGTGTCGCGGGAAGGAGACCCAAGCGCGCCCAGCTTCCAGGCGCTAAGGAACTCCGGGGCGTTCATCATGGTGGCCGATCCGCCTCGGGGAGACCCCAAGGGGTTCGCAGCGGCTGAGCCCACCGCGAACGGTGCCCCGACGCTGGTCCCTATAGAGGACCCCGGCGCGACCGGAGGCGGATGCGGCGGTTCCCGGGACCGGGTGCGCCGCTGCCTTCGCGCCAACCTGCTGGTGCTGCTGACCGTGGTGGCCGTGGTGGCAGGCGTGGCGCTGGGTCTGGGGGTCTCGGGGGCCGGCGGCGCGCTAGCTCTGGGCCCCGCGCGCCTGGCGGCCTTCGCCTTCCCCGGTGAGCTGCTGCTGCGCCTGCTGAAGATGATCATCTTGCCGCTGGTGGTGTGCAGCCTGATCGGCGGCGCCGCCAGCCTGGACTCGAGCGCGCTCGGCCGCCTGGGCGCCTGGGCGCTGCTCTTTTTCCTGGTCACCACGCTGCTGGCGTCTGCGCTCGGCGTGGGCTTGGCGCTGGCCCTGCAGCCGGGCGCCGCCTTCGCCGCCATCAACGCCTCGGTCGGGACCTCGGGCGCCGCGGGAGAGGCCCGCAGCAAAGAAGTCCTCGATTCGTTCCTGGATCTTGTGAGGTCAGGCCCCGCCCGCCCGGTGGAGTCGGTGGGGGGATGGGGGAAGGGATGCCTCAGCCACGTGGGGAGGGGACGCGTGTTAGAGATGGCGGGAGTGGCCACTGGAATCGGAGAGACCATCCCCGGGGCCTGAGGAAGACAGGACGGGGTGGTGACGGATGGTGATGGTGGCCCTCTGAGGGTCAGATTACAGCGGGTGAGGACAGACCCCTGGGAAAGGAGGCTTCTCATGTGGGCGCCCGGGGACATTAGCGGGGACCCTACAAGAAGGTGATCGGCGAGGAAGTCTTATAGAGGGAAGAAGGAGTAATGCTTGGGGGAGTTTGGGGAGGGAGGGGACATAGGAGGGGCTCCTGGGAGGGGAGAGAATCCTGGAGGTGAGGGGGGGCTTCGAAGGGGATTTGGGGGCTGCTAAGGGCCTCAGGATGGGGCTTCTGGATCAAGATTTGAGTCCAGGGTCAGACGGCTTGTAACCCCTGGGTAAGGAGTCCGAGGGGGACCAAGAGGAGATCTGAGTGACGTCCAGCCCTAGGGCTCCCCACACTACGTGTCACCGGGACATAACCAGGTTTTTTTCTCAGCCTCCCTTCCCTGCCCAGTTCAACTGGGCCCTGGCAACTTCCCTCTTACATGTTCCTGCTAAACCCTGCCACCTCCCCGGACTTTCCATTCCATTTCCTCCTTTCTGGCGAGCCTGTCTGAGCTTTCCCTCCACCCACCCCCAACCCACAGGAGGCTGCGCAGAAGGGGGCCAGTTAGAAAGCACACTCTTTTCCTTCTGATCTCTGCTCCCCACCCAAGAGTGGCTCTCCCCGCTTTGAGGAGGGCAGATCGCTGGGTTGTCGTTGGGGCCTGCTGATTCAGTGTTTCTGGGTGGTTGGGGACTTCCTGGAAGTTGCGGGAGGAAATGAGTCACGGAACTGGGTTCTCCCAGCTGCTTGGGGGATCCGTGCCGGCTGAGATGAGAGACTTGGGGGCAGGCTTGGTGTCTAGAAGTCACGGTGGGTGGGCGCCTCCTGGCTGGGGGAGATTAGCAGGGTCCTGACCCAGCCCTGCCGGGCCTGGGTGGGTACAGGCCTTCTGGCCAATGGGCACACCCACTCGGAGGCTGTTGATGTGCACAGGCCTCCCCTGTGTGCCAAAATAGAAGGAACTGGCACTTGGCCAGCTCCTCAGAGACTTAGCTGGAACATCTCAGAACCACACAACTTTATAGGCAGTTGGCGCACAGCTGGACACAGACACTCAGCCACAGCTGCGGCCTCTCACACTGACACATAGCCTTACACCAGTTGTCACATGTGCACTCACACACACACACACACACACACGATACTAGCCTCTTTTTGCACAGCCACTCACGGATGCCAAGGACCACGCCAATCCATCGAGCGTTGCTCAAACATCCATGCTCAAGAGCCCATACACACCAACACCATCCCACGTATCTGAACACTAACCCGCACCCCCCACCAGATACCAACGTTTGAGAAATATTGGTGGAGGGAGGACACCAGAATGCCGGGTGGTTAGAACTACGCAGCCGGCTGGCTGGGTTCAAATCCCAGCTCGGCCACTTCCTAGCCAAGGCAAGTTTCTTTCCCTTTCTGTGCCTTGGTTCCCTCTTCTATAAAACGGGGATCAGAGGGCTGTCATGAGGATCAAATGAGTGGATTTAGGGGCCCCCCCGGGCGGTTCAGTCGGTGAAGCGTCAGACGCTTGATCTCAGCTCGGGTCTCAATCCCAGGGTGGTGAGTTCAACCCCCGCGTTGGGCTCCGTGCTCGGCAGGGAGCCTACTTATTTATTTATTTTTAAAGCTTTTATTTATTAGAGAGAGAGACAGAGTGAGAGAAAGAGAGCACAAGCGGGGTGAGGGGCAGGGGGAGAAGCAGACTCCCCGCTGAGTAGGGAGCCCGATGTGGGGCTCCATCCCCGGACTCCAGGATCATGACCTGAGCTGGAGGCAGATGTGCTTAACGGACTGAGCCACCCAGGTGCCCTGCGGGGGAGCCTACTTAAAAAAATAAAAAATAAAATACATAAACGAGTGGATTTATGTCAAGCACTACAGGGACGATAGTCCCCACATTTGCCGTAATTTTCGTCCCACTCTGAGACACGCTCGCTGGGGTTTACCGCACATTGCTGCACAGATACACATTCATGACACAAAAAGCCATCCCTTGTCACTCTGTCTTGCTACCTCTTTCCAACACACCCAGATCTTCCCCATACCCTGTGACCCACTCAGCCCGGGCCCCAAGGCCGAGCGTTTCTCAGCCCTCCAGGAGGAAGTGGCTGATGCAAGATGCCCGGGGTATTAAGTTTGCTGCGTGGGGTGGAGCTGAGGCCCTGGGTGACCCTGCCCCAGCCTGCCTTGGGAAGCCAGTGTTCCTCACCTCCTCCAGTCCACAATCCCTCGGGGCTGGCCGGGGCTAGCAGGCCAGCCTACGGGGCCCTAGGAGGCCAGCTCAGACTCCCCGCCCCCTGGAAAAGTGTGCGGGCCAGGGCCCAACTCTGCCAGACCACAGCTGGCCTGAGGCCTAGGTGGCGACCACACTTGGGTGCCAACAGGGCCTCCAAGGTTCTTCCCATCCCAAGAGGCCAACGCAGCCCCTCGTGCACATTCCCCTCCCAACCTCCCCCCCTCCCCGGGGTATTTAATAACGTGCCCTCCTCCGTGTCTGTCTCTGCAGAAATATCTTCCCCTCCAACCTGGTGTCCGCGGCCTTCCGCTCAGTGAGTCCTTGGGGGTATGTCCTGAGGGGTGGGGGGCGGGCTGGGAGGGAGACAGCCACTTGCAGCCCCTGGGTGCCTGCTTTTGGGTGGCCTCTGAAACCCCTCCCTGCCCCTCACCAAGACAGGAGAATATGGGTTCTGAGCCCCTTCTGGGTTCTAATTCTAGCTGTGTGACCCTGGGCAAGTGCCTTTTCCTCTCTGAGCCTCAGTTTCCGCCTCTGGAAAATGGGCACATGGTATGAGAATCCCGCCTCAGTGGGGTTACTGGCAGGATGCAAGGAGATCATGTTTAGGGGTGCTTAGGACTGGCTTGGAGCACTGTTAGCGCCAGGATGGGGTGGGGGAGCCTGTGTGGCAGTTGATGCTGACTCTTGCCCACCCCCACCTGCAGTACAGTACCTCCTATGAAAACAGATGGATCAATGGAACCAAGGTGAAGGTGAGAGCAGGGGAAGGGGGGTGGGGCCCCATCCCTTGGCCCATTGTGGGGGTTTTTCCATTTTCTTCCCACCCCAGCCTTTGTTTGCCCCCCCACACCGGGGATCTTCTGACATTTGGTGGTATTTGTTTTATACTCTCTGCAGCCGCTGCCCAATTTCTATCTTTTCTAGTCTCTACATTTTTGCATCCTTCTTCTCCCTCCCCGGTGCAGGCTTCTCTTCTGCCCCCCGCTCCCCTTCTCCCACCTACCCTCAGCCTGGCACAAAGTAGTCCTTCCAAAGCACAAACCTGACCCTGTCTCTCCCCTACCCAGAGCCCCTTTATGCTCCCTAGTCCCCTCGGAAGCAAGCCCAGGCTCCTTGTCACAATCCATGGTACCCTGTGAAGTCAGGCTTCTGCCCAGCCACCCACCCAGTCTCATGTTTTGACTCTGGCCAGCCTATTCCAGCCACAGTGGATTTCTTTCTGCTCTTTGAATGCCCAAGGTGCTTTCATTTCCAGACGGTTGCACATTGTTTCCCCTCTCCAGAACCTTCTACCACCTCTCTTTACCTGATTAATCCACCTGTTCTCCAGATCTCAGCCCCTTCCTCCACAAAGCCCTCCCTGATCCCCCGCCACACCACCTACCAACCTGGCATCCCCCCTCAGTTCCGACACTCCCTTGGGTTTCCCTATTCCAATCACTCTGAGTGGTCCCTGGTGACAGGCCTGTTTCTCCTGGACTTGGACTGTGAGCCTTGGGAGGAAGGGACAAATGAGCTTCAGGAGCTCTTTTGTCCACGTTGGGTCCCAGCAGGGCCCAGGACAGGCCCTTAGTGACTGTTCAGGTTGACCGAGCGTCCTGCTCCCATCCCAATTTGTTCCTTGCTCAAAGGTGCCCATTGGCGACGAGGTGGAGAGTATGAACATCCTGGGCCTGGTGGTATTTGCCATTGTCTTTGGTGTGGCCCTGCGGAAGCTGGGGCCCGAGGGAGAGCTGCTCATCCGCTTCTTCAACTCCTTTAATGATGCCACCATGGTGCTGGTCTCCTGGATCATGTGGTAGGTGGTGGGAGAGGGGATGGGGGATGTGGGATGGGGCAACCCTCCATCTACCTGCTCCTTGGAGCCGGATGGCCTGGATGCACACCCAGCATTGACCATCCCCTGGCTGTGTGACTTTGGGCAAGTGATCTACCCTGTCTTTGCCTCAGTGTCTTCATTATAAGATGAGGACCATGTAGTATTCCATGGGAGCTGAGACTGACGCCAGCACCTGCTGGATCCTCCTGGAAGGTGACGAAAAGCCAGCCAAGCTGTGGCCACAACTTAGCGAATGCATCTCCGTTGCAGAGATTTGAATGGGATCAAATGTCCAAGTTACCATGAAGATGAAATGAGTAATAGGTGGTTTAAGTAAAGTACTTATAAAGTGTTTTAAATGTCTAGCACCTCCTGAGCATTTACTTACCGTTAGCTATGATCATTATCATTATGACTTCCCACCTGGGTGCCCTATAACAAGTGACTTAGCTCACTCTGCTTCGGTTTCCCCATCTGGAAAATGGGACTGACAGTACCAGGCACAAATGAGTGCGAAGTTCTTGGGACACCGCCTGACCTATAGCAGCTGACAGTAAACAGTATCGGCTAATATTTATCAAATACGTCACTTGTATAACTTCTGGGCACATCCCACTGGCTGGAGCTTGGGCATTTGGCCAAACCTAGCTGCACAGGTGGCTGGGCAACGGGGCCTTTCTCCTGCTACCAAAGAGCGGAAGGGGTTTGGGCGACAACTAGCCATAGTGATCAAACCGGGAAGGCAGCCTTGGGAGGCCTCCTGGCTGGGAGGCACGAGCACTCCTGGGATCCTCACTGCCGGAGAGGGTGATAATAATTCCAGCAGAAGTTTATAGATCACTTATTGTGTACAAAGAGCTTTCAAGGCACTTCCCCTGGCACCCCGTTTTCTCCAGTATTCCTATGAGGCCGGTAGCCTAAATGTCCCTGTTTTACAGACCTATTAGATTTCAGTTCAACTGTAGCTACAGAGGACTAAAATAGGAGCTTGTGTGGGATTGTGGTAAAGATTCAATCATGTTCCAGGGCTCAGCCCATCATAAATGCTTCATATCTGCGGGTTGTTATTAAGACCCGAGTGACGGACTTTTTAGTTTTCATGATGTGGTGAGAGATTGTATCGGTTTAAATCATCCTCGCTGCTGTAACAAACGAACCCAGAGCATGTAGATGACTCACTCATGGGGGCCACGTGTTCAGTCCGAATCTGGTTAGTGATTCAACTCCAGGCGGGCGATAGGAACCCCCAGGCTTCTTTTTATCTCCCTGCTGCCCTGTTTTCAAGGGGAAAGAGCTTGGAGGATGGCAGGGAAGGTGCCCAAACCTCAGCACACGCCATGTTTCCTGGCCACAAGGGAGCCTGTGGTCAGGCTGTGTACTGAGCACCGAGCCTGGTCCTGCCTGGACATGCGGTCAGAGGCTGCAATCTGTCTCCTGGGCACTTAGGTATGCCCCTGTGGGCATCTTGTTCCTGGTGGCTGGCAAGATCGTGGAGATGGAGGACGTGGGGATGCTCTTCGCCAGTCTCGGCAAATACATCCTGTGTTGTCTGCTGGGCCACGCCATCCACGGGCTCCTGGTGCTGCCTCTCATCTACTTCCTCTTCACCCGCAAAAACCCCTACCGCTTCTTGTGGGGCATCATGACAGCGCTGGCCACTGCCTTCGGGACCTCTTCTAGGTATGGCCTTGGGGCCGACTAGTGCAGGATTTTTAAGCTTAAGGGGCCTGGAGTGGGTATCAGTATCTGGAGACCCTTGACATTTTGTAATTTGGGGACACTGGATCTGGGTATAGGGGCCATACTTTTGTGAGTTTCTCATAAGGTTCTGGAGTACACCCGTCTCCGCCATTAGAAGACCACTGTCTTAGAGATTTCTTCTTCTTTCCTTCCTGGGAAGCCCTCCTCCTCCACAAGGCCTGGCCCCCGGGGGGCAGTGGTCTAGCGCGCCACCCTGGATCTAATCATTTAGGAGCGCTTTCCACCCTCTTCTAAGTATTTTGTCCACCTGTGCCCTCAGAACCCGGCCCTCCCCACAGCAGGGGTCCTCAGAGAATAGCAATTCTTTTTCTTTTTTGTTAAGATTTTATTTATTTATTTGAGAGAGAGAGAATGAGAGATAGCGCGAGAGGGAAGAGGGTCAGAGGGAGAAGCAGACTCCCTGCCGAGCAGGGACTCGATCCCGGGACTCCAGGATCATGACCTGAGCCGAAGGCAGTCGCTTAACCAACTGAGCCACCCAGGCGCCCGAGAATAGCAATTCGTAGCCAATTTCTATTATTGGTGGAGCAGGGAGGGAGTGTAGGTCAGCGAGCTCCAAGGCATTATAGAATTTAGGTTTGAATTTTTGTGTGTATTTTGAAGGATAGCAGCCTGTACTCTTCCAGGGAGTCCAGGACTCCTATATTTTGGAATCCTGGCATTCTGCAGCATCCCAGGTGCCTCTGGCTCTGGGAAGAGAAGGGCATGGGCATTGGAGAGCTGGGGAGGGCTGGGCGTGGCGGGAGGGGGGGAAAAAAAAAAAATCTAGGCTGCCTTGCGCTGATTGGCCAGTGGGGGTGGTCGACTGGGCGGGGCTTCGGCAGGGGGCGGGCCACGCGCTGACTGACAGGGCCGCCCCTCAGCTCCGCTACGCTGCCCCTAATGATGAAGTGCGTGGAGGAGAGGAATGGCGTCGCCAAGCACATCAGCCGCTTCATCCTACCCATCGGTGCCACGGTCAACATGGATGGTGCGGCGCTCTTCCAGTGTGTGGCCGCGGTGTTCATTGCACAGCTCAACCAGCGATCCCTGGACTTTGTGAAGATCATCACCATCCTGTGAGTGTGGGGTGGCTGTGGCCAGGACCCCCCCCCCCACCGGCCCCTCTGACACCTCCCCGCAGCATGGACGCGGGCTGGAGGGAGCCAGCTTCCCGTGCCGCCGAGGCCCCTCTCCCTGACCTCTGCTCTCTTCCCCCAGGGTCACCGCCACGGCGTCCAGTGTGGGTGCCGCGGGCATTCCCGCCGGAGGCGTCCTCACTCTGGCCATCATCCTGGAGGCAGTCAACCTGCCGGTTCAGGACATCTCCTTGATCCTGGCTGTGGACTGGCTGGTGTAAGTGTGGGTTTGGGGCTTCGGGGGCCTAACGGGTACACCCCCCGGGGAAAGGGGGTGAGCAAGAGGGTCATTGAGAGCCTGTGGGCAGAAGAGGAGAGCAAGAAAGGGGATGGTGTCTTGAACGTTCTAATCAGAGGGAACGAAGGGATCTTGGGGGTTCGTTTTTTGGGGGGACCTTGGGGGTTCTAAGAAGAATGCCAGAGAGGTAGTGTGCCCCAGTGGTTAATAGAGTGGACTTTTAGGCCAGGCTGCTTGTGTTCAAATCCCAGTGCCACCTCTGCTAGCTATCGTGACCCAAGTTGAGTCCTTCATCACTCGTCTCAGTTTCTCCATCTGTAAAATGGGGAGAATAGAATGGTCTCTCCTTGAGGATCAGATGACGGGAACATGTAACTCCCTTCTGAGAGCCCCTGGTCAGAGTTACTCCTTCTCAGCCACATCGCTCCTAGGTATAATGCCAAGAGAATTGGAAATATGTTCACAAAAACTTGTTCATGAACGTTCGTAGTGGCATTTTTTGTAATGGCAAACAGGTGGAAACAACCCAATGTCCATCAGGTGATGAATGGATACATAAAACGTCATATATCCATAACAATGGAATATCATTCAGCAATAAAATTGAACGATGCATGGACAGATGCATACATGCTGCCACGTGGTGGACCCTTGAAAACCTCATGCTAAGTGAAAGAAGGCAGAACACAAAGGACCACATATCATATGATTCCATTTCTATGCGATGTCCAGCATAGGCAAATCTGTAGACCCTAGGTTAGCAGTTGCCAGTGGCTGGGGAAGGAGGGAATGGGGGATAACTGCTTGGTGGGTGTGGGGGTGTCCTTTTAGAGCAATGACAACGTCCTGGAATTAAGTAGCAGTGATGGTCGTACCACTCTGAATATACTAAAAACCACTGGGTTGTATATACCTTTTTCTTTTTTTGAGAGGGAGAGAGCATGCGCACGCGTGAGGGAGGGGGCACAGAGGGAGGGGCAGAGGGAGAGAGAATCTTAAGCAGGCTCCGCACTTAGTGTGGAGCCCGACGAAGGACTCGATCTCATAACCCTAAGATCATGACCTAAGCCGAAATAGAGGCGGACATCCAACCAACTGAGCCACCCAGGTGTCCCTGGATTGTATACTTTTGAAGGGTGAATTTGGGGCGCCTGGGTGGCTCAGTCGGTTAAGCGTCTGCCTTCAGCTCAGGTCATGATCTGAGGGTCCTGGGATCGAGTCCCGTGTTGGGCTCCCTGCTTGGTGGGGGGTCTGCTTCTCCCTCTCCCTCTCCCCCTCCCCCCGCTTGTGCTGTCTCTCTCTCTCTCTCACTCTTTCTCTCAAATAAATAAAATCTTTTTTTTTTTAAAGGGTGAATTTCATGGTATGTGAATTATACCTCAATTTTCTAAAATGGCACACACACAAAGTATAAAGAGGAAGGGAAAAGAGCTCTTTAGAATCATAAGTAGAAAGGCCTGAGTGAGAAAGTATTTCAGGGGGAAGGGGAGAGGTTGGATGGGTCTTCTGAGGCCCCGAGAGAAGGGAGGGGTGACTTTTTGAGGTTCCAGGAGGAGCAAATCTTGTGTTTTATTGGAAGAAGAATCGTTTGGGCTCCAGGGAGGATGGAGGAGGGGGTCTTGGGGTTCTGAGGCAGAGAAAGTGTGGGATACTTTGGGATTCCACAGGAAAGGAGAGAGGTGAGAGCTAGGGGGCTTCTTGGATTCTGGATGAAAAGATCTTTGAGGTTCTAGGAAGAAGGGGTAGTGGGGATTTTGGGAAGATGGAGGGATGAGCTGGGTCTAGGATCAGGGTTCCATGAAGGAGGGCACCATGGGGACTCCAGGCTTTGCGGCGAGAAGCTGGAGGGTTGAGCGCCACCCTCTCCCTTCCCACTCACTTCCCTGTCACTCCTGCCTCTCCAGGGACCGGTCCTGTACCGTCCTCAACGTGGAAGGTGATGCCTTTGGGGCAGGACTCCTCCAAAATTACGTGGATCGCTCAGAGGTGCAGAGCTCGGTGCCAGAGTTGATCCAAGTGAAGAGCGAGATGCCTCTGTCTCCCTTGCCTGTCCCCACCGAGGAGGGGAACCCCCTCCTCAAACGCTGTCCGGGACCTGCTGGGGATGCGGACCCCTGTGAGAAGGAATCAGTTATGTAAACCCCATGGGGACATTGCCTGCCCTGATGGGGCTACTATGGACATTGGGATCATGAACTGGGGCCCTGGAGGCCCTGCCTGCATACTCGGGGGCCCCAGGGGCCTCAGCTGCTGCCCGCCCCCCCCCGCCCCCGCCACTGCCACGACATCAGATCTGGGAGGCCTCAATGCTGGGGTAGATGTGTATGTGTGTGTCTCTCCCCAAATCTTCCCCAGTCCTCAATTCCTGTTCCCACCCAAAGCTAGGAAACAAGATGGAAAAATAGTGTAAATGTGGGCTTCTGCCCTCTGCGAGGAAGGATGTTGCAGTGGGTTTGCTGGCTATTTTGGTGGCTGTAACGTGTGTGTGTGTTGTGACTCTACGGTACGTCCCACCCTATCCCCAGGCCCTCTGTTCCCTCCACAGTAACAAACACTCCAGGGGACCCTGCCGGGGTGGGGGACACCAAAGACAAAGACTGCTGTCACTCCAAAGGACCTTTTTGAGCAATAAAGTTGTCAAGCGTATCTCATCAGATGTTTTTAAGACTAAAAGCACGAGCCACCCAGAAAAAAACAAACAGAAAAATCGGGCTTCGTTGACATAAAATAGCTGTTCATCAAAAAACCCCACTGGAGAAACCACGATGAGCTGCCACTGCACACCTGTTGGAAGGGCAGAAAGCAAGGACTGAGTGTGGCTGAGGAAGTAGAGCGACTGGATAGAGCCCCACACTCTGCGGGCGGGAATGCGTAACAGTCCAGATGCTTTGGAAAAGTTGCCGGGCAGTTTCTTACCAAGTCAACATAATACACTTACCTAACGGCTCAGGAGGCCCACTTACCAAAGAGAAGAAAAAACTTCGGTCCACCCAAAGCCCAGTACACAAATGTCTATAGCTGCTCTCCCCATAATTGCCAAAATTTGGAAATGCATCAATTGATAGAGGAGTACAAATGTTATGGTGGATGGCCGCTCAGAAAAAAAAAAAAAAATCCATTTGGATGCATCCCACGGATAACATTTTGAGTGAAAGCTGGAAACAGTATATGCTACCTAGTTCCCTTTCTATGAAGGTGTGGAACGGGCTAAACTGGTCTATTGTGAGACAAATCCAAACAGTGATGACCTATGAGGGTGACTTCGTGACTGGGAAGGGGCCCAGGGAAACTTCACGATCTAGCAAACCCAAAGCTTGAGGCGGGTATTGCTTACACAGACCTATACGTTTGGAAAAATTCGCCTGTACACTGAAGATCTGCATTTTATTTATTTTTATTTTTTAAAAAGATTTTATTTATTTTAAAAAAAGATTTTATTTATTTGACAGACACAGTGAGAGAGGGAACACAAGCAGGGGGAGTGGGAGAGGGAGAAGCAGGCTCTCCGCGGAGCAGGGAGCCCGATGCGGGGCTCGATCCCAGGACCCTGGGATCATGACCTGAGCCGAAGGCAGACGCTTAACGACTGAGCCACCCAGGCACCCCGAAGATCTGCATTTTAGCCTATGTATACCATCTCCCAGTTGAGAACCTTTGTACGACTCCAGGGAAGAAATTGATTTTCCAGTGTAAGCACCCACATAGGGATGCGGGTGTCGCTTGATACTTGAAACTCTCACTGTCCAAACAGTGCCAGTAAGGACTTGTCCCCTCCCTTTTTTAAAACCCTGAATTTGCTGTTTGAATAAAAAACCCTGCTGTGCAAATGTTTTTATTTTTTTTATTTTTATTTTTTAAAAGATTTTTATTTATTTTTTGACACAGAGAGAGAGACAGCGAGAGAGGGAACACAAGCAGGGGGAGTGGGAGAGGGAGAAGCAGGCTCCCCGCTGAGCAGGGAGCCCGATGCGGGGCTCAATCCCAGGACCCTGGGATCATGACCCAAGCCGAAGGCAGACGCTAAACAGCTGAGCCACCCAGGCGCCCCTATTTTTATTTTTTTAAATATTTTATTTATTAATTCGAGACACAGAGATACAGAGAGAGCATGAGTGGGGGAGAGGCAGAGGGAGAAGCAGGCTCTCCGCTGAGCCAGGAGCCAGACGGGCTCGGTCCCAGGACCCCGGGATCATGACCCAAGCTGAAGGCAGTTGCTTAACCATCTGAACCACCCAGGCGCCCCGTGCAACTGTTTTTAAGTCCGTTTGAGTCCAGGATGTGGATGACACCAATCGCGCCTCACCTGCTCTAACAATCCTGCCTTGTACATTGCTGAAACATGTTACACATTACTGATCATTATCTTCCCCTCCCTATGTAGGCTCCTGCCAGGTACATGGAAGCACCACCAATCTGAGTTCAATTACAGATGGTATCTTGAGTATCTTCAGCATTTTTTGGGGGGAGTATTTAGTTACATCTCATGATCATTGCAGTGTGGAAGGAAAATATAATTCATATCTGATTCGGTGCAAAATTGTGTATTGCACACAAACATAACCACTAATGCGTTCATTAAGTGTTGAATAATGAAATAATTGGCGTTTTCAATGCTTTCTGTTATGCCAAAATCCTTGGTGGGTGGTTATAAAAGTGTTTTAAGAGTTTTAATGGTATTTGGGGAAATTGGTTGGGGTTTTTGGAAGGAGCTGGGAGTGCATTATTTTCCCCACTTAAAATAGTTGTTTATCTTCAAATTTTCTTTCTTTTTTTTTTAAGATTTTGTTTATTTGACAGAGAGAGAGAGAGAGAGAGCGAGAGCGGGAACAAGCAGGGGGAGTGGGAGAGGGAGAAGCAGGCTTCCCACCGAGTAGGGAGCCCGATGTGGGACTTGATCCCAGGACCCTGGGATCATGACCTGAGCCGAAGGCAGACGCTTAACCAGTTGACTGAGCCACCCAGGCGCCCTATCTTCAAAATTTTCTATTTAATGCTTTTGGGGGAATGGATCAGATTATGAAGGATGCCTGTCTAAAGAGATACACGCATGTGTAATATATCCCATATCCTATACGTACAATATGTATACATATATGGAATCCATAACTAGGCCAAGTTCCAATTTCCCCGTTTTTCAATTCCATTTTCAAGACTTACTGGGCACATGCCACTAATTTGCCTAAGACACTGATCTGGGTCATTTAAAAAGTCTGGAACCGGGCGCCTGTGTGGCTCAGTCGTTAGGCGTCTGCCTTCATGATCTCAGGGTCCTGGAATCGAGCCCCACATTGGGCTCCCTGCTCGGCGGGAAGCCTGCTTCTCCCTCTCCCGCTCCCCCTGCTTGTGTTTCCTCTCTCGCTGTGTCTCTCTCTGTCAAATGAATAAATAAAATCTTTAAAAATAAAAAATCTGGAACCATTTCAAGCCTTCTGAGTATGGACAGGGGCTCCCAGACCTGGTCCCCACTAGGACGTGCACTCCACGAGGGAGCCGCCTCTGTCCTGTTCACCACTGTCTGCCCAGAGCACAGCATGGTGCCTTGTGCATGGTAGGCACTCAATAAATATTTGCAGAATGAATGAATTGGGCTCCAGCTACAGAGCCACCTGGCCAGCAGAGGCTGTTACCTGGTTGAGATCCTGTTTCTGCTGCCCGCCAGCCCTGTCGCCTTACCTAAGCACTGTGGAGTCTCATCCTCTGGTGACTATGGCCCTGTTATGCCTCACCCCAAGGCCACTGGTGAAGGTTACATAAGAAAAGAAGGAAAAGCACCTGAACAGCCATCCTCGGGCCGGCTCCCACCTCCCTCTCCCTTTCTCCATGGCTCCACCCACCCCTTTTTTGGGGACACCCCTCTTGCTCCTTTGAAGGAGTCTAGCTTGGCAGGGAGTCCTCACACTAGCCCTGCATTGGGCCAGGATGGGGGGCTGGCAGGCACAGAGTAATCACACCTTTTTCTTTCTTTTTTTTTTTTTTAAGATTTTTTATTTTTTATTAGAGAGAGTTACAAGCAGGGGGAGCGACAGGTAGAGGGAGAGGGAGAAGCAGGCTCCCCGCTCAGCAGGGAGCCTGACGTGGGACTCAATCCCAGGACCCTGGAAGGGTCAACCTGGGCCGAAGGCAGCCGCTTAACCGACTGAGCCACCCAGGCGTCCCACACCTTTGTCTTTCCTTGAGACAATGTTTCTAGGCCTGTTGGACTCCCTCTCCCAATCTGCTTTTTTTTTGGGGGGGGGGTGTCAACCTTATTAAGGTATAATTTGTATACAATAAAGTATATCCATGAAAGTAAGTATTTGGATAAAACTGACAGATGCACAGATATTGAAAACCACCACAATCAAGATACATGATATTCCTAGCACCCCCAAATAGCCTGGTGCTCCTTTGCATTCTGTCCCTCCCTCTGCCCCCAGGCCCAGGCAACCACTGATCTGCTTTGGGTCACTGAAGATTAGTTTGCATCTCCTAGAATTTCGCATTAGTGGAATCCTGTAGCAGGTAGCTTTTCGTGTCCTGTTTCTTTTTTTTTTTTTAATTTTATTTATTTATTTGAGAGAGAGAATAAGATAGAGAGAGCATGAGAGGGGGGAGGGTCAGAGGGAGAAGCAGACTCCCCGCCGAGCAGGGAGCCCGATGTGGGACTCAATCCCGGGACCCCAGGATCATGACCGGAGCCGAAGGCAGTCGCTCAACTGAGCCACTCAGGCGCCCCTCCTGTTTCTTTTATTTAGCATAATGCCTTTGAGATTTAGTCATGTTTGCGCACATATCGGTTTATTCCTTTTTGTTTTTAATCACCGACGAGTATTCCACTGCCTGGGTGCAGGTTTGTGTATCCACCCACCTGACACGGACACTGGGTGGTTTCTGGTTTGGGGCTATTGTATATAAAGGTGCATATGTCCACAGGTGGTTTACCAGCCATTGACTTGCCATAGCAAATCTTTTGTAATGCCCGGGAGGATACACAAATATTTACTGCTTGGTAAAGGGAGCAGAGCCTCCAACAGCAGTAGAGACTTGAACCTCCTTCCCTCTGGCTGTGCCCAGTGTTAACCCCTTGGTTGCTGGGGGAGTGGGGGGAGAGAAGTCCAGGGAGTCCCCATGGAGAGCCAGGCGGGTAATAACAGGGGGTCCATGGCGATGACCGTTTACCAACAGATCAGTAATCTATAATGTAATATTTTCATGCTTTAATCACATCATGGCCACATGTTGGCTTGTCAGCTCTGGGAAAACCCTCTGGGCTCTGCTGAAATGAAGGTCATAGATACTATAACCTACCGGCACATGATTTTGTTATTTATTTTTTAAAGTTTATTTATTTATTTATTTATTTAGTCATCTCTACCCCCAACGTGGGGCTTGAACTCACGACCCTGAGATCAAGAGTCGCGTGCTCTTTCCGACTGAGCCAGCCAGGCGCCCCTGGGGCTCAGATAATTCTTAACCAAGTTTTTCCACGTGAGGCTAAAGTTTGGTTAATATGCACTAGTATGGATGTGCTGGTTTTTACAATATCGAAATACTTCTGGCTGGCTAATCATGCAAAAGGAATTGAGAAAGCACTAAAATTCAGTAATAACATATCCTAATATAAACTCATTAATTCAAGTTAATTGCTGCAATAGGTTTTCTGTCCTATTACTACCTAGTCGATCATAAAGAGACTGAATACACAAAGCTGTCAGGCAGTATTATAAAGGCTACAAAAGTTTTTAGTGTAATTGTTATTAGTTCGGGAACAATGAAGAGAGGAGAAAACACCAAAACACTATGGATGGTGCTAAGAGAAATTCTTTATCTGTTGAGACCCCAAGTCACCTAATGGCACTCAGTTTAATGGGAAGTTGCCAGAAGCACCTGATGTGGTTTTCTTATCAAATCACAGCTAAGCCAGGATTATTTTATATATATTTAATATAATAAATAAAGTAATTAAATAAATGAATATATATGTGTATATATATTTAGCATATCAATCAAGAAATCGCACCAACAATTTCTAAGTAAGTTTCTAAATAAAACAAAATCATTGCATGATTTAAGAATGATTTGAGCTTCAGCTTATGTTCTTGGCAAACAATTTAAAGAAATATGTATATAGAGAGAGAGCGTTCCCATTCTTCAGAGAAGAAAAAAATATTTAAACATTTTGATGCATATATTGACGTATATATTAATTTATATCACCGTACCAGTTGCAAACGATTTTGAACATCACTCTTCCTTCGTGAATGTCCAACGGGACATTTCAAAACCGTATGTGACAAGGGCCAATGCTTTATTATGTGGAGAGCCCTGCATATTATGACATCTCCATCCCTGGGCTGTGCCTCCCAAGAGCCAAAAGCACCACCCGATCACAGTGATAACCCAAATCATCCCCGTATGTTTCCAGAATGCTCCATGGAAACCCAACAGTCTCTGGGAGCCATTTGAGGGTTCAGTGGCTAAAAACAGAGGCTGTGTTCTAAGAAGTCAAGACTTTGGATTGTGGGAGCCCCATTTGAGAGTGGGCCAGATTTGCATTTATCTTCTCTCGCTGGTCTGTGATGCCTCCTCCTCCAAGGCCTTCCCGCTTCTGCAATATCACCCCTTCCCCACACCCAACCTATAGGTTCGGGGAGGCATTGACTTGCCTAAGATCACAAAGAAAATAAGTGGCCACGCCAGGAGCCAAACCCAGCCTTGATTCCTGAGCCCTTTCCACTCAAGTGGCTCACAGCACCCCTAGGGGGTGAACGTTCATGACCCGCATTTCCCAGGTGCAAAGCAGAGGTTCAGAGAGGCAGGGTCACCACGGCCCAAGTTCCCAATGGGAGAAACTGGCAGCGCTGGGTTTTGACCCCAGGCCTCTCCCGCCCCAGAGCCCGTGGTCCCAAAAGCTGGGTGCACACACCCAGGGGGTGTGCGAGACAAGTCACTGAGATGAGCCAGGTAGACAAAAACCTCTATGTTTATTTTAAATTTTAAAATGGGATAATTTAAGCCTCATTACTAATATACAGAACGATAGTAGTACCTGTATATAACTTATAAATAAATACACATATTCAGGATACTTGCCCAAACACCATTTACTCTTGGGTGCATGATCACAAAAGGAAGGCCGCCATGGCTTCACCTGCTAAGTGCTGCGGCCTCCCGGGACCCTCCCTCTCATGTTGCGTTACTAGAGAGGGGCAGAGTACCCAACTTCAGTGTGGGCTCCAGCCTGACTGTCTGGGTTCGAGTCCCTGCTCTGTCACTTCCTAAGCTGTCTGACCATGGGCAAGTGACTTTACCATTCTGGCCTCAGTGTGCTCACTTATAAAATAGAAATAATAGCAGCTCCGTCCCCACCTCAGAGGGTTGAGGTGAGAGATTGATCAGTTAATCCGTGTCCAACACTGAGAGGGATGCCGGGCACACCGTACGTGCTGAGTTATGTGAGCTAGGATTGCTGTTTATCCCACCGTGCAAGTGGGCCAACAGGTGCGGAGCGTTACAATGAGGTAACGCAGTTAACATGGAGTGGGTCTGGAATCCAGAGCTCGGTTCCTAACCACAGCTGCAGCTCAGGGCTGAGCCTGTTTCCTCCTCTGTAAGATGGCGTTAAGAGCAGCATGCATCTCACAGGACTCTTCCAGGAGGCAAGGAGGTCGCATTCTGGAAGAAGGGAGATAGTCATCCTGTCCCTCTAGGTACGGGGGATTAGAGAGACCAAAGGCTCTCTACGGGAACGGGGAGGTCCGGCCTTGCTCGGCCCTTGGCCCCAGAGCAGGACAAAGGCGCCCTCTAGTGGCGGAAGCAACCCCAGCAACCAAGTGTCCTGCGGGCTCTTTGCGAGCGAGACATTGCGAGGGCACTCACTGAATCCTGGAGGAAAGTGATGCGCACCCAGAAACTGGGACACTCTCCCAGGCAGGCCCAACTAGTAAGAGGTAGAGCTGGGGTTTTAATCGCGGTAGTCCAGCCGCAGAACGTACACCTTTTCCTCTTTATAAAACTGTCCGTGCTCTAAATAAAACCCAAGCTCTTGGAAATCTTGGGCAGGGCAGGTCTTCGAAGTCCAGGCCCGTCCCCGGCCCGCCCACCAAATGCCAGCGGCGCCAAAGCAAAGGGCAGCTCCCCGCGCAGGAGTGTTCTTCAGACCCCAGGAGCGGGCGCTGGAGCTTCAGCTGCTTCCCGCCAAACTCAGGAGTGCCGGGTTGGGGTACTCGGGGTTCTCGATGACCCCGGGGCCGAACTTGAGCTCCAGGAAGCGACGGTAGTTGTTAGGCGCCTGCGCCACGAAGCCAGCGAAGGACAGGGGCACGAGAGGCTGCAGGAAGTGTTCGGGGAATTCGACATCCTGCCGGTGGTCCAGCCACGTGTCCTTGGTCATGACTCCGTTGCGGGGGTAGAAAGGCCACAGATCCACGTGCAGGTGGTTGCTCTCGCTGTACTGCACGCGGAAGAAGTCGCCCTCTACGGCCTTCTCCCACACGAAGCCGCGCTCGTCCACCACCGAGCCCGCCTCGGCCCCCCGCAGCTGCTCGCAGTTGCCCACGTCCTCCAGGTAGATGCCCAGGTCCACGTCGTAGTCCCACGGGATGATGTCCCCGTGGCGGGCGGCCCCGAGCAGCGAGCCGCCCTCCAGCCAGTAGCGCACGCCCGCCGCCTCCAGCACGCCCACCACGTAGCGGGCGGTCTCGCGCAGCGCGCGCAGGCAGCACGGGGGCGTCCAGCGCTCCTCGTAGAGGTAGGCCGGCGTGTCGCCCACCACCGTCCCGAAGCAGCGCGGGGTCTCCTTGCTGCAACCGAACCACTCGAGGCGCCCGCCCTCCCCGCTCACCAGGCGGATGCCCAGCGAGCGCAGCAGCGCCGCCCGCCGCGCGCGCCCCTCGCGCTCCGCCTTCCAGCGCGCGTGGGCCGTGGCCAGGGGGGGCTGGCGCGCCGCGCCGAACTGGAGGTCCAGCAGCTGCACCGCCCAGCCGCGCAGGGCCGTCTGCAGGAAGAGGCCGGTGCCCACCGGCCGGGCCAGGGGCGCCGACAGGTTGAAGAGGTCGCGGGCGCGCAGGAGCACCACGGCATCTCCGTCCAGGGCGTCGCAGCGGGGCGCGGAGGGCGCGGGGCCGTAGCGGGCCGTCCAGTCCCGCAGGCTGACGTTCAGGGCCAGGCACCGGGCAGGGTTGGCCGAGGCGACGGGGGCGGCCACCAGGCGTGCCCCTCCCGCGCGGAGCACCTCCACCATGCGCTCCAGCTGGCCCGGTGCCTCGGCCCTCGCCCCGTCGGGCACCAGGGCCACGAACTCGGTGGCCACGTAGGTCTCGGGGCGCGAGGCCGCGGCGGTCCGGTCCAGGGCGGGCTGGAGCAGCGCCAGGCGAACGTTGGGAATGCGGGGCAGGGCCAGGGGCGGGTAGGGGAGCGTGTCGGCGGCCACCACCACGGGCTGGGCTGCGTCCTGTTGCAAGAAGGAGTCCACCAGCTCAGGCACCGCGTTGTCAAAGGCCTCGAACTCCCGCACCAGGACGGTGACGCGGGGGCCGGCAGCCCCTCCACGGCGGGGACCCCGGGCCCGGGAGTTCCTGGGCTGGTGCTGCAGCCAGGAGACATAGAAGAGGACCAGGAGGTTGAGCGTGATGGCGGCTGCCAGGGCAGCCTGGCAGCGGGTGAGACGCATGGGGCCAAAGTCGGGCCCTAGCTGGGCTTCCAGGGCATCCTGGGGAGGGGAGAACGAAAGACGAGGCTGGAGCTGGTTGTCAGAAGCCTCCTACCCCCCCACCCCCTTCCATCCTCAGCGCTGCCCTTCTCTCCCAGCCCTTTCTCTGTTTGGTTTCAGCTGTCACACCCTAGCCCACCACTCTACGGCATTTCTGCGTGGGGACAGGTCTGTATCCTCCCACTGGGTAGGTTCTGAGCTTGTTTCAATCCCTGCTGGGTCCCTAGTTCCACCCAGCACAGAGCCTGGTGCTCAGAAAGGTTTTATCAAATGTTTCACCTTCCCTTCTTCCTTGTTCAATCGCAACTAATCTTTATCCTTTTCTTTGGCAACTTCTCATTCAGGTTTGGGTTCAGTTATAAATGTCCCACTCCATTCCCAGGCCCAGCTTGCACCTTCTGCTCCACCATTCCCTCCTCCCGGAAGCTCCCGCCCCCGATCTGTCTCTCCCGTCCCTCTCACACTCTGGCCCTGGCTCCCGGGTGAGGCTACTGCCTCAGCATTGGCCCGCCAAGCCCCTCCCCCACTGTCCCCTTCTCACTTCCTCAAATCCTGTGCCATCTGGCCATCTCTTTCCCGATGGTCAGCCAGATCGATTTGGTTTTGCAAGAGAAGCTAGAACTGTTTTCTTAAGTCACAACTGTCCCAATTTTTAATATTGACCACTACTTAAAAAACAAAAAACAAAGAAATTTTACCATATATGTTAACTAACTAGAATTTAGATAAAAACCTTAAATTAAAAAATAAAAACAAAAATACTTTGAATGCTAAGTCCTATCAAATAATAAAAGGATAAAAATAAAATAATGATTTTTTTTTTTTTTTTTTTTTAAAGGGGAGTGGAGGGGCACCTGGGTGGCTCAGTCGTTAAGTGTCTGCCTTCGGCTCAGGTCATGATCCCAGGGCCTGGGATCGAGTCCCACATCAGGCTCCCTGCTCCGCGGCAAGCCTGCTTCTCCCTCTCCCACTCCCCCTGCTTGTGTTCCTTCTCTCGCTGTGTCTCTCTCTGTCAAATAAATAAAATCTTAAAAATAAATAAATAAAATAAAAGGGGAGTGGGTAGTCTCTTTTGATGAGCAGCTGTGGGCCATAGGACACACCCACCCTTCACTCATCCCCGCACTCCTAAGCAACCCCCAGATGGCGCTGTCTCACTTCCCCATCACAACGGGAAGCTCGGCTGGTCTCCAGTACTCCTACAACACGCTAACTCACTCTCTGGGCTCTGAGCAAATAAATACTCAAAAAAAAATTTCCCCAGGAAGGATTTCCATAGGTTTCTACTGCTCCCAGAAAGGGGGACATCAGACACCCAGCTAATCTTCCTATCTCCTAAATACTTCTGACCACAGCTCCCCCTTCAATCCTGGTCCACCCAGATCCCCGCTCAGCCTCCCCTGGTCTCCTGACCAAGTCTGCTCCTCATGGCAGCCAGAGGGTTCTTCATAAAGCACAAACCTGACCTCTCCCTCCCTGCTCAGAACCTGCCATGGCTACCCAGTACTGTGAGGAAAAAGTTTAAGTTTCTTACAACCTCCCCCACAAGACCTTGGGTGACCTTGGGTCTCTTGCTGGCCCACCAGTCCAGCTCCATCTCCTGCCATGTGTCAAACTCTGCCTAAGCCACCTTGGACTTTTCCTCCAACAGATGTTATTTCTAGGCCTTTGTATATTCTGTTCTTTCAGCTTAGAAGATTCTCTTCCTGAACACCCCTTCTCCCCATGCCTCTTTTCTCCTCGAGAACTCCTACTTATGCTTTAGGTCTCAGCTCTGATGCCTCCTCCCCCCAGGAAGCCCTCCCTGAACCCCAGGCTGGGTCAGAAGTCCTCTGTGGGCTCTTGAAGCCCCTGGGCTCCCCATCCCAGCCCTGCCCGTTCTGGTTGGGCATCATCCGGGGATGGGTCTGTCTCCCCTACGAGACTGTGAGACCCGGGAGGGTAAAGCCAGGGCTTCCTCGATCACTTCTGTGTTCCTGGCACACGGGTGGGTACTGAAAGTGCACTTGGTGGAAAATTGATGCCCAAGGACAGGGTTCTCCGAATCTATAAGGCCTCAGTTTCCTGAAGTCAAACTCTGTACTGTGGCTCGGGGCCCTGGGTCCTGCCTCCTCGCTCGCTTTCTCTCTCCTACCAGGAATGCTCTCCTCCCCGTCTTTACCCATCCCAGGCCTGCTTACCCTTCTCTGACCCAGCTCAGTTGGCATTTAAGAATCTGAGTTGCACTTCAAGAGCAACTTCTTAATCTTTAAAACCTTGGAATCGCCTTCTGGACCTTAGATTGATTCTTCCTTCCTTCAGTTCTTCCCTCTCTGTGGAACCCCTACAATACGCCAGGCACTGTTCTAGGCACTGGGGACCCAACAGCGGACACACAGCACACAGTGACAAACAACAACTCTGACCTCACATTACCGTGGGTGGGGGGAGGAACCTTTGGAACCATAGAATCTTCGGGGTCTTAAAAATCTTAGACTCGGGCGCCTGGGTGGCTCAGTTGGTTAAGCGACTGCCTTCGGCTCAGGTCATGATCCTGGAGTCCCGGGATCAAGTCCCGCATCGGACTCCCTGCTCGGCGGGGAGTCTGCTTCTCCCTCTGACCCTCCCCCCTCTCATGCTCTCTCTCTCTCTCTCATTCTCTCTCTCAAATAAATAAATAAAAAAAATCTTTAAAAAAAAAATCTTAGACTCTCAGAGCTTATGTACACAGAAGCACAGGAGAGACCACTGACAGTTCTAGAATCTTTTAAAGATTCCATATAGACCATCTTCCTGCTCTGCCCTCATTCTCCACCCCCCACCCCCAGTCTGTTCCCCACTCTGAGCCCAGAGGGATCCTGTAAAAACTCAAATTAGATCCTGTCTTGCCTCTGCTCAAATCCTTCTGTGGCTTACAACTCACTCAAAGGAAAAGCCAAAGTCTTCACTGGGGTCCATAAGGCCCCATGTGATCCCCCAGCCTCTCCCACTGACTCGTCAGCTCCAGCCACACACTGGCCACCAAACACCAGTCTTCAAATACGCCCAGAGGACTTCATCCAAAGTACTGGCTATTCCCTCTGCCTGGACGCTCTCCCCCAGGTATCTGCATGGCTCCTCCCTCATGGCCCTTGGGTCTCTGCTCAGATGTCACCTGTCCAGCGAGCCCTTTCTTTGGCCACTCTTTTATCAAAACGTATCTCCCTATCACCCACATATTTCCTGTGCCCCATCCCTGCGTTTTTCTCCCCTAGTCATGATCACGTAGATTTTACTTATTATTTTGTTCCTTGCTGTGTGCTCAGAGTGCAGCTCAGTGCCTGGCACATAGCATGTGCTCAATAAATGTGTGCAGCCTGAATGACTGTCTCCAGTTGTTCAGACGGGGAAACTGTGGCTCAGAGACAGAAAGGACGCAGGGAGAACCTCCCAGGCCCTGGCTCTCAGCATGCTCTGTCTGGCTGACTCTGGGCCATGAGGTGCCCAGCAGGAGAGAGGACAGAAATCAGGTCCTCAGAGACCAGTGGCTACGATAGCCAGACCAGCAGGTGAGGGGCCCAGAGAAGAAAGAGAAAGGAATCATCCAGTACCCTGACACAGTTGGTCTTGACTTCCCCAACTATAAGGGCTCAAGACTCCTTTATCGAGGCAAAGGATATGAAGTGATGATTCTGAAGGTCTGAATGTTCTGCGTTTCTCTGAATCACAATACGATGATAGTATCAATAATTCTAGCTGCTCATGATATGCCAGATATCTTCCTAAGCACTTTGCTTAAATTACCTTGTTTAATTTTCATGTTCTGATAACATTTAAAGATGAGGAAAAAGCACAGAGAAGTGAAGTCACTCATTCAAGGCCACACAGCTGGGAAATGGTGGACCCTGGATCTGACCCACAACACTGGCTCTAGAGTCATGTTTTCAACCAATAAGTTCTGCTGTCTCTCTTGGGTCCACTCAGACAGCCCAGCTCGCCGTCCACCTTCAGTGAGCGTTCTGCAGCCCTAACCTGACGGGTGCTTTTCAAAGCTGAATACGGCACATCACTTAATGAATTCAACCCATTAACTCAACAGACAGATATTTACTGAGTAACGTCTGTGCCAGACCCTGTGTTCTGGGGACAGGGAAAGATCGAAGCGGTCACTGGGCAGGCCCTCCAGAGGTAGGAAGACAAAAACCACACACAGAACTTACAGACAGGTCAGGAAACCAGCGGGGAGTGTGATAGAGAAAAGGTGGTCAGGGGACAAGAGGACAGTTAGGCTGAGACTTTGTCTCTCCATTCCTCACAAAACACAATGTAAGTGGATCCAGATTCACTTTAGGCCTAGGTTCACCCAGCCTGAGCTCTGCTCTGGACTGGGCCTCAGCTGCTGCATCTGTGGAATGGGAATGTGACAGGCAAAGAAGATGAACAATATGCGGGAAGGGCAGTTTCCACAGGAGTGCTGGTGACACTGAGGAACTTCTTACCTCCTAGGGTGCTGCAGGACCTCCGGGTGGGCGGTTCCAGCCCAGCTCAGCTGCACTGCTGAGGGAACGAGAACCAGAAAACCCCAAATCAGCCAATTTTGCACAGTAGAGTATGATTTCACCTTACCTACAAAAGTGGCAATGAGGTCAGAGAATCCTTTACTTTTTGAAGTTCTATAAGCTCAGGCACCACCTGGGGTATCTCAGGAATGGGTGGGAAGGATGTCAGTTATCATAGCAACCTATAACCATCCCTTTCTTATGAATGAATGTGTCCAGAAAGGTGGGGCTAGAAGTGACCAAAGCTGTTACCATGACAACCTCTTCCCTAGACCTACTCCATCCTGAGACACAATCTTAAAACTGTCTCCTACCTTGGTGGGCCTGGTTCTTAGGGTCACGGGAAGGGGGACTGTCCTTGTTACCATAGTAACCAGGGGTTGGCCTTGCCTGTTTCCACCTCCTGGTCCAGGCCCTGTAACCATAGCAACAACTCCTCAGCAGAGCATCTTCTCTAAATAAAAACACCTGGTTGGTTTGGTCCATGGACCTCCCACGATGGGGGGGGAACTGTTACTATGGTAATGCCAACTAGGTGGCTAGGGGGAGGGGTTGGGAAAGAGATGTTCTCTCAGCAATCAGTGTCCTTGGGGCTGGGGTCCTTTCTACCTGAGTGCTAGGTGAGGTTGCCACAGTAACCAAATGAAGGTAGGGGTAGAAGGACCACCAGGGACTTAGGTTACCTTAGCAACCTCCTCCTGGTGCAGAGACAGGAGAGGTTTGGGGCTCCATAACCACAAAGGGGGACAGTTCCAGGCTGGGGAAGGGTTACCATGACTACCGACCTGGACCAGGAATCAGAGAGGACGGGGCCATTGCTGAAACCACCCCTGGTGGTCGCCCTTTCTCTCAGAGGGACAGTGTCAAGGAGAGTGACATTTGGGTCTGGTGGGGGTTAGAATTTTTCTTTGGGGCGAAGCAGGAGGAGAGGGGCAGAAAGCGGCTCCTCCCAAAGTCCCGCTCTTCCCAGGCGCGACCCTCGTGCTGGGCCTGGGTCTCAGCGCTCCTCGGGGCGCGCATCTCCGCCCCGCCCCTTCCCTCCCCTCCCCCTGCGCCGTTCCGGGGTCGACCCGGGTGGGCGAGGCGCGCGCCCGGCCTCGTTCCCATCACCGGCCCCCCCCCACCCGGCCCCCGTCGAGCGCGCGCGCCGGCGGCGCGGGGGGGAGGGGGGGGCGCGGTGGGCGCGCGAGGCACAGCGGGCGCGCGGGCCGGCCCCGGGGCCTCCATGATGGAGGAGCGAGCGGCCGCCTCGGTCGCCGCCGCCGCCTCCTCCTGCCGCCCGCTGGGCTCCGGCGCGGGCCCCGGCCCGACGGGGGCAGCCCTGCCCTCTGCCCCCGCCCCGGGGCCCGGCCCGGCTGGTAAGGGAGGCGGCGGCGGAGGCAGCCCCGGGCCTACGGCGGGGCCCGAGCCCCTGAGCCTTCCCGGGATCCTGCACTTTATCCAGCACGAGTGGGCGCGCTTCGAAGCGGAGAAGGCCCGCTGGGAGGCCGAGCGCGCCGAGCTGCAGGTAAGCGCCGCCCCAGGACCCCCGACCCCCCGCCCGGCCCGGCCCGGCCTCACCCGCCGCCGCCGTCGCCGCCATCTTGGAGCAATGGCCGCCGGGACGGCCGGGGGGGGGCGGGAGGGGACCGCGACCGGCCCGGAGACCGAGTGAGGGGCCGTCCGAGGGGGGTCCTGAGGGCACCTGGCGGCTCGAGGAGGGAGGGGGGGCCCCGGGGCGGGAGGGTCCGACCGGGGCCGGCCGAGAGGAGGGGTTCAGGGGACCGGAACCGGCTGGGAGCTAGAGTGGGAGTGAGTGGACCGGCAGACGGGTTCCCTGGAGAGGGACCTCGGGCCCTGAGGGGAGCCCAGGAGAACTCAGCGGAGAGTGGTGGGAGGAGTTGGGGGGGGGTCTCGTTGAGAGTGAGCAAAAGCCCGAAAGGTGCCGCTGGGTTCCCACCCCCGTCCCTGACCAGATGAGGGTTGGAGGTGGAACTTGATGGGCTTCGGGTGGGAGAGAGGGGGCGTCGGGGGAACTTGGGAGCCGCCGACGGCGGGAGTGAGTCGAACGGGGAACTGGCCTGAGTGGGGAGAGGAAGTCAGGGAGCCTGGGACCGGGTGTGTTTCAGAGCATTTGGACCGGGGCGGGGGGGCGCGGGGATGAAAGGTGCCTGTATGAGGACTCGGGATGAGAAGAGGGCCTCGGGGGGTCCCAGGAGGAAAATGTGTGCCCTCCCCCTAAAGACGAAACTTTGGGGACCCCGGTATGTGTGGCTGTCGAGTGTAGGGTGGGGTGCCGGGAGTGGAAGCATGGACAGGGCCAGGACTTGCTCTAGGAGCCTGTATGTAAGAGCTGCAGAGCGGAAACTCCAGTTTGGGGGATGTGGAGGAGTGCGGCGGGCAATGGCCTTGAGATGGGAGGTGTGTATAGGATGTCAGGTGGAGAACCCTGGACTGGAGTGCGCTGGCGTCCAGCGTGGAGATAAGGGGACCTGGGATGGAGACAGAAGGACTTTGCGGGGGGGGCGGTACCTGGAAGGTGGCAGGGGGAGGATTTGGCAGAGCAGGCAGGCAGTGTTGAAGAAGCGTCTCAGAAGGACTCTGGGAGGAGATGTGTTTGTGGAAGTTTCCCATGGTTTGTGGAGTAGCTTGGGAGAGGAGTGTGCTTTGGGATGATGTTTGTTAGAGCCTGAGGAGTTGGGCTGGGTTTCGTGACCTTGAGAAGTGTGGGTCTGTTTGTGGAGTGTCTGGAGGATGGGGCATCAGAGTTGTGAGGATTTGAAGGGATCCAGGGATGGGCCACAAGGACTCTGTGGGTTCCTGGGCTGGGGTATAATTAGCAGAAGCCGGTATCTACTTCTAGCAGCCCAATTTTCCCCTTCTGGTTCACGGTTTCCTGTCTAGTTGATATGGGGACCCCCCCAAATAAATAACCGATTAGAATTTTGTCCAGAGGGTGAATGAAGAGCATTCTATAATCGCGCCCCCCCCCCCCCCGCCGCTGCCACTAGGGATCTTAGCTGTGTGTTAGCTGAGGCTTGGCATTGAAGTGGGAGAGGAATCCTTATGTAAGCACCCCTCACTTTTGTGTTCAACTCTGTTTCCGGAGCTCTTTCCCAGCATACATCTGGCTAGATCTCAATACCCCATTATGGAGACGGGGCAGGTGTCATTGCCCTCACTCAGCAGCAATGACAGTAGCTGCTGTATATTGAGCATATATGAGGTGCTAAGCACTGTACGTAGCACGTTAGATACATGGTATCATTTAATACTCGCAACATTCTGGGAGGGCGAGTGATTCTATTCCCCCACCCTTGCTTTTTGAGAAAAAAATCGGAAGAGGAAAGGGAGGTCCTGAGGGAGAGACAGTCCGTGATTGATCTAAGATCACAGCCTGTGGGTGGCAGGGCTGGTCTGTGGGCTTTTAAAAGCCCATGCTCTGTATCTCTCTGCTGCCCAGTACAGACGAGGAAGATCTTCCACCGAAGCCCAGTGGCCTCCTTAGGATCAGCCAAGCAGTCGTAAGCAGACCTGGGATTGAATCTTGGTCTCTGGGACTTCACACTCCAGTTCACCCTACAGCACCCACGGTGCCACCTTCTCATCCTTGAGACTGGCGGGAGAAAAGTTGTGTGTTTATGCACTCACCTAGTGGCCGTTGGAATTGGAGAGGAACTTGTGGAGAGCCCCTGGTTAGGCTCTCCCATGTCTAGGCTGCGGCATCACTTACTGTGAACTTTTGTTTCTCTTGTTCTGGCACAATAGTAAAAACGCAAATGTGTCAGAAGTGTGTGTGTGTGTGTGTGTGTGAAAAGGGAACCCCCCCATCCCTTTCCTGCTCTTCTCTGCAACTGTTCCTGCGAGAAAAGTAGTTCAGCTCTGTGTGTGTAAAACGTGAGGTCACACACAAATTGTTTCGTGACTTTCTAACACCCGTGCCTTGGTGTTCCTTTCCTGTCCGGACAGAGAACTTTCGTATTATTTTTGATAACTGCATTCCGCTGGATGTTTATACCGTAGCTTCTTTAGTTGACCCGTGTTGACAGACTTTTAGCTTCTTTCCTAGAACCTTCCCCCCCCCCCCCGGTCAGAAACGGCTGCAGTGATTATCTTTATATTCCCTGTGAGTATAAAGCGGAATAGGTGGGTGCAATGGTAGAACAGCTATGTTTATGAAACGGCGATCTGTTCAAGTTGCCCCCACGGTTCCACACACCCCCTTCAGCGGCACCTCAGTTTACACACCTTTGCTCCAACACTTACCGCTTAACAGAGGTGTGACTTCTCTTGTGAGATCCTTGAAGGCCTGGCCCGTGTCATACTTCTGTGAGGAACCCTGCATACCTTTTCTCCAAATCTCGGAGTACAGCTGCTCCAGGCACAGGACCCGCTGTGATGTCGCTGTGCTCAGTGAGGGCGTGTGGGGGATGGTAGAACAGGCAGCCCCTCGTGAGGTCCTGCCGGGAGGTACTCAGAGATCGGAGCAGGGAGGTGGCGTAGATGCCATCTGACAATAAGCAGGACTTTGTCAGATGGGGGATTCCGAGAAGCAGGCAGTGTGGTTTCTGCCCTTCAGAAACTTCCAGGCTGACAGAGGAGGCTAGTTTGCACAAGAGGCTGCAGAGAACTGTGCACACTCACACGCAAGTGGAGTTACTTGATTGTGTGGCTCTGCTCGAAGCACCGTGATCTTTGGAACGTAAGAAAGCATAAAATATCTAAATGAAAATGGAAGTTACGATCATAAGTATTTCTGATTTTATAGATACGTATGTTGTGCATTTAAGGTAAATCAACACAGGATAAACACAAAAGGTCATGGGGCGCCTGGGTGGCTCAGTCGTTGGGCGTCTGCCTTCAGCTCGGGTCATGGCCCCGGGGTCTTGGGATCGAGCCCCGCATTGGGCTCCCTGCCAGGCGGGAGGCCTGTTTCTCCCTCTCCCACTCCCCGTGCTTGTGTTCTGTCTCTCGCTGTGTCTCTCTCTGTCAAATAAATAAAATCTTAAAAAAAAACAAAACAAAACACAAAAGGTCCCATACAAACCCTATATAGTTTATAGATCTGTGGCATTTCTGGGGAGGGGAGCTCCCCGAGGACAGGAGGAACCTCTCGGGGGAGTCTCAGCTGGATGTTCATGGAGGAGCAGCGATAGGGAGATGTGGGGAGCGTGGTGGCAGCAGAGAAGGTGTGGAACTGGCCCCTCCCCACTGCCAGCCTCATGAGGGGCTCGGAGGCATCCAGTGGGGAGGCATCTCTGCCAGGAGCCCTGGCTCTGGGCAAGGAGGAGTGCAGGAGATACAGGGCTAGGTGGGTCCAGAAGGGAAACAAGACAGGACTGGCGACTGGGACAGAAAGGTCAGCACAGGATACCGAGAAGCATCCATCAGCCTCGGGGAGGACCGAGATTGTGCAGGCTCCTTGGGAAGCCCTCCCAGTGCCACCTGGCTGGAGAGAGGGAGCAGCCGCGGGAGAGGCGGCAGCGGCGTCTGGGCACAGTTCTGGGGGGGTGTGTGTTCTAACAGTCTGGCCAGGGGGAGTGGTGGTGGGTGGATATGGTGGGTAGAGAACTTCCAGGTCCTGGGCTTACCTGCCAGCCCACCAGGGCACTCACAGATCAGGCGGTGCTGGCTGCTGGCATTTTCGGCGGTAGGAGGGACCGGCCGCCAACACTTCCTCTTTCAGTGGGATTCCACTGCGTTGGTTCACTTCAACCACATGTTTCTGGTTCTCTCTTTTCCCTTCTTTGCCAGGGGAGCTGAGAGGGGGACAACAGAGCAGAGTGGGCCGAGTCAGGTTCTCGCACCATAATTAGGAGAAGAGAGATCGGGGCTTGCTGTGGTGAAAGCAAGGAGATAAAGGGGCCCAGTCCAGCAAGTGTGAGGGCCTTGTGTGTTTGACTTTCTCCCCGCAGACGGAGTCACCTGTGTTATCAGTTCTGCCTCCTTATTACCGCAAATCCACTAACCCAGCCCCCCTTCCTCGTCTGGGCCACTGTCATTTCTCCCTGGGATTTCTGGGACTGCCTCCTGTGACTGGCCTTTAGCTTTGTGGGCATCCCACCCCCCCTACCCCTCAGCCATCAGTTCTCTGCAATATAGCTGGAATTGTCTTTGTAACATGCGCTGATTACATTTCTCCTTTTCTTAAAACCCTTCTGTGGCTTCCCCTGTGCTCTTAGGACAACACTCAAACTCCATCTTGGTCTGCGGTTCCGTCTCGGGCCTCAAGCCTCTCTGCCTTTCTTCAGTAACCCTGTTACACGTTCTCATGCAGCTGTACTGGCTTTTTTAGCGTTCCATAAGCCTGCCATGCAGCTCTTGTCTCTGTCCTCTGCCAGCAGCGCATGCCACTCCCCTGGCCACCTTCTAACAGCCTTCAGGTCTTGACTGAACTGTGCTGCTTAACCTCCAGGAGCGGGTTGGGTGTCCCTTCTCCCATAACACCCTTTGCTTCCTCACCGTGTCTAGTCATGCCGTATGTTGGTTGTCCATGCTCCTGCTTGTCTCCTGCGCCATACTGAGAGCTCTGTGGGGCCAGGAACCACTCATCTTCTTCATTACTGGCCAGTGCCTCACGCAGGACCTGGTTGTCCAGGCAGTCACCAGTGCTGGATGTCGAATGGACGTAGTGTTCAGCAGGCTCTACCGGCGCTGGGAAGTAGAAGGCTCACTACAGAAGCCCCAGAGGGTAGGGAGGACAGTGAGGAGGTAGTAACTGGGGGCTTATGTTTGGTGATTGAGCTTTTCTTCTCCACCTCTCCCTCCACCTTCTAAAGTGACTGGACAGGGTGGATTTGGGTGAAAAAGGACAGAAATTCAGACTGCCAAGATGGTGACCACCTGCGAGTCTGCCTGTCTGGCCTTAGGTATTTATGTGCGTATGTGTTGCTTTAAAGTGTAGAGAGAGGGGCGCCTGGGTGGCTCAGTTGGTTAAGCGACTGCCTTCGGCTCAGGTCATGATCCTGGAGTCCTGGGATCGAGTCCCACATCAGGCTCTCTGCTCAGCGGGGAGTCTGCTTCTCCCTCTGACCCTCCCCCTTCTCGTGTGCTTTCTCTCTCGCTCTCTCTCATTCTCACTCTCTCAAAATGAATAAATAAAATCAAAAAATTTAAAAAAAATAAATAAAGTGTAGAGAGAGGGCGCCTGGGTGGCTCAGTCTGTTAAGCATCTGCCTTCAGCTCATGTCATAATCCCAGGGTCTTGGGATTGAGGCCCGCATCAGGCTCCTTCCTCAGCAGGGAGCCTGCTTCTCTCTCTGTTTGTGTGATCTCTCTCTCTCTCTCTCTCTAACAAATAAATAAATAAAGTATTTTTTAAAAAATAAGCCAGTCAGGGGTGCCTGGGTGGCTCAGTTGGTTAAGCGACTGCCTCTGGCTCAGCTCATGATCCCAGAGTCCTGGGATCGAGTCCCACATCGGGCTCCAGGGAGCCTGCTTCTCCCTCTTACCCGCTACCTTCTCATGCTGTTTCTCTTTCTCTCTCTTTCTCTTTCTCTCAAATAAATAAAATCTTTAAAAATTAAAAAAATATATAAATAAATAAAGTGTAGAGAGAGAGAAGTGTTCAGAAGGGGGGAAAAGTCCATTCCCTCAATGGACAGGTGGGTTTTTTCCCCCCCACAGCATACCTGGTGACATATAGTGATCTGTTCATTATTTTTCCCACACCCCCTTCTGGAACGTGCACTCCATCTTGTTCAGTGCTGAGTCCTCTATCTGCACCTGTACCTGATACAGAGTTGGGGCCCAGTAAATATTGGTGTCGTAAATGAACGAACGCATGATACTTTCGTCTTGCATCAATGCACGTATATTCCTTTTCATTTTCTCAAAGAAAGCCTACATTGCAGTTATGCCTGTAGGCTGCGTCCCCGGAAGTGGACCCGTCAGGACAAAGGGAGTGTGCATTTAACATTTTTATAGATACGGCCGAATTGCCCTCCGGGAAGTGTGCATTGATGTATGACCCCACCAGAGGTATATGAGTGCCCGTTTCCCGGCCAGAGCCAGGCATTAATTAGCACATGCTCAGTTCTCAGCTAACCTGAGGGAGAGACCTGGTCCCTGGAGCAGGACTGAGGCCATAGTAGGCTTGTGGGCACAGAGCTGTGCCACACTCCGAAGTGCCCGGGCAGGTAGGTGCTCTGGGCCCTTCGAGCCTCAAGGAGAGGGAGAGAGTGTGGATGGGCATCTGAGAGGCTGCCAAGAACCTAGTCTTAGAGCCGGGCTTTGAGAATGGGCACGGCCTGGAAAAGGTGTCTGTGGCCAGACCCCGGGGCTTCTTGGAGTCATTGAAGTTCTCCAACAAGCACATGATGTTTGGGGATTGGCTCCAGGAAGATGCAGCTGCCTGTGGGGGCAGGAGGCCTGTAAGCCACGGATATCTCTGCTCGATGGGGCTTGGGTCTTAAAGAACTGGGCCCGTTTCAGCGTTGCGGAAGAACGGACAGGGAGAATAAAAATAATAAGAAGTAGGAGCCGGCATTTATTAGCCCTTCTTCTGTGCTAGGCCTCGGACTGAGAAGAACTTAACACATGAGGGGCAGGCACTCTCGTGAGCCCCATTTTCTAGAAGGGGAAATGGAGGCTCAGAGAAGGCCGATGACCTGCCTAAGATCATGCAGCAAGTAAGTGGCCGAACCCGGCCTGGAGCTCAGGCTGTCCCAGCCTGTAACAGTGGAGCACTTGGGGAGAAGCCAGGGTTGAGCCCTGCTCTCAGGGCTTTGGCACAGGACTTCTGGAACATGGTCAGGGGCCAGGATCCTGCCTCGAAGGCCGTTGGCCCAGTGTCTCCAAAAGACCTGTTGACAGACCAGAGCAGACTGGGGTAGCCCATGCCAGCAGACGGTGTGAAGTGGTTGGCAGGGGCCCTGGGTAATGTCTGTGGCATGTCTCGCTCACCCTGGGCAGACTCCGGTGGGACGCTTGGTCCCTGCGGTGGGGGTTGGGTGGTAAAGCTTTTGCATTGGAGCGGGAGCTGAGCTGAGCCACCCACTCTTGTCCCTAAGCTCCCGAAGTAGCTTCCTACGCCTCCCAGAGACAGATGCTCTGGTAGAAATAGTGAGACACCACCTCCACCAGCAACCTAGGGGACAGCACCTGCCTTAGGGTGGGGGAGAAGGAGCCCGGGGCTCTTCGTGCCTACCTCCCCCACCTTCATCCCTGATCTGACTTCTCCCCAAAAGGCAGGGGCCAAGTTACCCATTTTAATTTTAAGGGTCAAGGACTCCTCCTCAGCTCTTTCATGGTGTGTCACATGGCAGGGGACTCTGGAAACAGATCCAGCATGCCCTGTCACTGCTCCATTGAACCCTGGCTCAGGGTCTTCACGTCTGAAGAAGCGGCTGCTGCATGTCATGGTGGGGGTGGGGGTGGGGGCTGGAGCTGATTGTCCTTGCATGAGTGAGGGACACACATCAGTGAGCCTGAGCTCTGCTGTCTTCCTGTTCCCTTCTATCCCCCCAGGCTCAGGTGGCTTTCCTCCAGGGAGAAAGGAAGGGGCAAGAGAATCTCAAGACAGACCTGGTGCGGCGGATCAAGATGTTGGAATATGCGCTGAAGCAGGAAAGGTGAGCCCTGCTTTCCTGGGTCCAGCCTTCTGAAGAGTTAGGCCCGAACGGGCGGGTGAGGAGGCTGGCCACAGTGCCTTCCAGCCCAGGGAGGTTTGGAATCCGGCGTTCTCTTCCCCATTGCCCAATACTGTGTGATTCTAGCGCAGGGAGACAGAACAACACATGGCAGGTGGAGTTCAGGATTAGCGCTAGTAACAGTATTCATAATGATGGTGGCCCCCACTGTATGCTCATTGCCTCATTGACCCCTTCCAGTCACCTCATGGGTACAGGTGAGGCTTCCAGAGGGGAAGGACTTCTTCAGGGACTCCTGGAGCTGGGTAGCACCACAGTCTGCCTGACTCCAAAGAGTGGGTTCTTCATAATGCCGTGTGTGGCCTCTTCCACCAGGGTGGCTTCCTAAAGGTGGAGTGAGGTGGGAGTGGGGAGGGGGCTCAGCTTCAGCGGTCAGGGAGTGGACTGTGGAGGCCCTGGGACCTGGGATCCCTGAGGTGAGTGCTGGCCCTGTCTACTCCTCTGCATCTGTCATCCGTTAATCATTTGCTCTTCTAGGGCCAAATACCATAAATTGAAGTTTGGGACGGACCTGAACCCAGGGGAGAAGAAATCAGAACCAGCAGAACAAGGTGCCCACCTGCAGATCCGCCCGACTTGCCCACCCCCCGAAACGGAGCTCAGTGTGGTGGAGTTGCGCGGAGTTGGGCCACCTCTTTCTTACTTTGCTCCACAGAAAGCAGACTTGCCCGGGGGGCTGGGGAGGGCTTGAACTTCACTCTCAGTGCCCCCTTCGCGGGCTGCTCTGCAGGGCCCCTGAGTGGGGAGGGGGCTGGATTTCGGTGAAGAAGGCCAGTCCTGCCTTCTGTCCCTCTGTGATACAGACGGACACTGTCCCTAATATTCTAAGCTCCTTGTTCACCAATAAGTAGGTAGGGCAGGTGTTCCAGGTAGAGGGACACGTGTACGGGAGTTTGGCGATGTGAAAGAGGGGACGAGGAGTTACTGGGTGTGACTGGAACAGGTGGTGTGGGACAGTGGAGGTGAGGGGCCGGGTGACCCATCAAGGCCTTCAGGGCTGGGTTAACAGTGATGTTGTTGTTTACATCAGACCCCTCCCACCAGGACTGAAGTCCTAGAGGGCAGGGGTCTTTGTAGCCTGGGCACCTAGCCAGCTGCCTAGTAGATGCCCAGTAAGTAGTCGATGAATACAATAGATGATCTCATTTAATCTTCTCAAGAATCCCGAGAGCTAGGTGCTACTATTATTAACTGAATTTCTCGGAAGAGGAAGCTGAGGCTCAGAGAGGTAAACCAACCTGCTCGAAGTCACACAGCTGGTGAGCGGCACAGCTGGACTTGAAGTATAGAGTCTGGCTCTGCCTGCTGTCTCACAGCGGGGCCAGCTTCCCGTGTGGGAAAGTAACATAAGTAGATGGGAGTCTGTAGGTCGTCTGGGGGGTGGTCTGGGGAATGACCCCAGGAGAGTAGAGGGCGTGGAGGGGTGAGGGTAGGTTTTAGATGCCCTCAGGCAGGGACTCGGCAGGACATGTGACAGTGACCAGTAGTGACTGAGGAGGGTTTGAGGGTGAGGAAGGTGGAGGAGGTGATGGGTACGTGGCACTGCCCTAAGACAGTCTGCCTCCTTTGTCTCCACTCTCCAGTCTCCAATGGCCCTGTGGAGTCGGTCACCCTGGAGAACAGCCCGCTGGTGTGGAAGGAGGGGCGGCAGCTTCTCCGACAGTGAGTGTGCAGGACAGGGGTGCCGGGCTGGAGTGGGGAGAGGGACACGTTTGGCTCGGGAGATAAGCCCGAAGACTCCACAGTCCTTCCTGTCCCCCCTGGGGGTGGGACACTGGACTGTCAGGATCCCTGCTGGTCACGCTGTGGGTGGAGCCAAGCCTGGGAGGGAGGGAAGACTTGCTGCAGGAGGCAGAAGGGGGGCGGGGCGCTCCTCTTGGGATGTGACCCCAGATATCGCTCACTTTAAAAAAAAAAAAAAAGGGTAACGTTATGTTTTACTATTAAAGAGATTAGTGTGTTTTTAGAAAATTCACGAAATAAGGGAAACACACACACACACACACACACATAAAAAATCACTCATAATTCCACCACCCAAGGAATCTCATGCTCCTGTAAGCATTTTGGCGACCCTGGTGGGGCTCTGTGTGTGTGTTGTATAAAAGCAGGCACTCCCCTTCTTCCGTGTTTTCTACTGCATTGTTTTTGTGTTGTGGACATCCTTCCATATAAATTAGTTAGGTTGTATCATCTTAAGAGCCGTATGATTGTCTGTCACACAGATAAACATCACTTTCCATAGCCAGTCACTTCTTGCACATTTCCGTTGAAGATGGGTCTGTAGCGTGACAAGCATCAGGCAGATATTTGTCCCTATCCCCGATTTCCTTAAGCCGGATGTCCAGAAGCTTGCTTGCTTACGGTGTGTGCCAGCAGTAATGACAAAACGGTTCTTGTAGGCAGCACCTTTCCAGGTGCCTGTTACGTGCCCCTGTACCCACATTGATGCCGGGTGTAAATTCTATGCGGTAAATAAACTACCAGTACTCCCCTAACAGAAAGGCAGCTAGGGCGTGTGTTGGCGGAAGACGACACAGCTGGTAAGTAAGTGGGGGGTCTGAGATGTGACCCCAGAGCCCAAGCTCTTAATCACCGTGCTCCCCTGCCTGCCCTCGGGTGGGGCGGGGGCCTCGGCCACAGGCGGGCGTGGGGGATGAGACAGGTGAAGGCAGGTGTGCCTCGGCATGCGAGGGGCAGGCTCAGGGGTCCCAAAGGCACCAGGTCGTGGTAAACAGAAAAGGCTTCTGAAGGAGCCTGCAGAGGACCAAATATCCACAGGTAGCTGCAATTGATTTTTTTCCCCTATTTGTAACTTTTAGACCAGTCCCAGCTAGCTTCCATTTTTTGAAATTGCGGCAGTAAACACCGATTTGTAGAAGCGAGTAGAGTGAGTTGTAAAGGTTGCTCTTACGTCTCTAACCCCTTATTCCGAAGGTCCAAGGTCACTGCCAGTGCACTGAGTATGTATCTTTCCAGGCCTCGTGGGCGCGCACTTCGAGTGTTTGTGTGTGGCCTGTACCGGTACACACGTTAGTATTTTCTTTTTCTTCTTTTTTTTTTTTTTTTAAACTCATGAATTGTGTGGCTCACATAACTTGTGATTTTCGTTAAGCCTCTTATTGTGGCTGTCTTGGCCCTCTGCCCCCTTTATTTTCTGCCTCGTGTCCCCATCAGTCCTTTGCGGCCACAGTCGGCCGCGGTGGGCATGTAGCGTGGCCCCTGCGTTTTGGCTCTTCCGTTCGGCATTCCCGCTAGCATCTCTGTGACCGCATTGTGCCTGTATGTAAAGGCTTCCCCTGGAAATAGACTCGAAGTGACGCAGCAGGGCCCGGGCTGTGCTTATTTAAAATACAGGCGTGTAGTCTTAAGCTGCTTCTCCAAAAAGCCTGTCCCCGTTTGCATCAGCCTCCATCAGATCTAAAGAAGCCAGGAGACGCCTGAGCCGCACTGGTTCTGTCTCCCTGCAGGTACCTGGAAGAGGTGGGCTACACGGACACCATCCTGGACATGCGGTCCAAACGCGTGCGCTCCCTCCTGGGCCGCTCGTTGGAGCTCAACGGGGCCGTGGAGCCCAGTGAAGGGGGCCCCAGGGCCACAGGAGGCCCTGGGGGGCTCAGTGGCGGTGAGTCGCTGCTGGTGAAACAGATCGAAGAGCAGATCAAGAGGTGAGCCCTCACAGGTCTGGTCCTCTGTGGCCCCTCCTCCTGGTGAAGGCCAGTGTCACAAAAGTCAGCAGTGCTCCTGGAGGGTCTGGTGGCCACTTTCTCCCTGGAGCGTGTTGTGGGCTGGTTTGTTCCAGAGCCCTTGGTCCCTTCACTGTTCTGGGTCCCCCTGTGCATCCTCTCCCGTGGCATCGTGTTCGTGCCGATTCGTGCCCCAGCTCACACCCAGCCCGGCCCCCATCCTGAGGCTCAGGCCTTATGCTGCTCAGCACACGGAGCACCTGCTGGAGGCCGACCCTGGGTGGCATGCTGGGGCCCGGCGGGGAGCGAAACACACGGCTGCTGCTTGGGGACTTCTTCCTGGTTCCCTCTCTTCTCTGTAGTTGTTACTCATCAACATAAGTGATTTAACGTTCGCTGACGTTTGGTGCTGCGGAGAAAGGTCAGAAGAAAGAAAGATGAGGAAATGGGTGATGGGGGGGTGGTTATTCACGGAGGTGACATCTGGGCAGAGAACCGCAGGAAATGGGAGAGTAAGCCACACAAGTACCAGAAGGAGAATGTTCTAGGCAGAGGGAATGGTGATTGTCAGGTCAGGGTTCCACTTGGCGTGTTCAGGAACCCTCAGCAAGGCCAGTGTGGCTGCAGCGAGTGAGCACATGGGCTTGTGGTCTGTGGTGAGGTTGAAATCTCGGGAGTCAGATCAAATGGGGCCAGAGCAGCCACGATAGGGAGTTTGGAGTCTACTCTACGAGTTGTGGGAAGCCTGTGGTTTCGAGCAGGGTGTGACACAGTCCCATGTGCTGGCCTCCTTTGAGAAGGAGGGGCTGTAGGGCGGGAGCGGAGCCTTCTGGGCCATCCAGGTGAGAGGCGGTAGATGAGGGTGGTGGAGGGGGTGAGGTGGCTGGCCTCTCTGCAGGTTTGCATTTTAAAAAAATGGATGTGGGAGAGAGGAAGGAAACTAGCAGGTGGCTCTGGGGTTTGGTCCAAGCAACAGGAGCAGCGTTGACTGTAGTGGGGAGGACGAGGAGCGGAAGGGATGGCAAGGGGGCCATTGAGGGCAGGTGGAATTCACGGGGCTGGGTCGGCCCCCCCCCACCCAGGACCGGTGATGAGTAGCCAGCCTGGGGCTCGGCTGGGGGGCGCTGCACTCTGGACTCCCCTCTGGCTCACCAGCGCGCAGGCGGGATTTGCAAGCTGGAGGCGGCGGCTGTGCCGAGCAGGTCCGGCCAGGGTTGGGGGGGGGGGGGGACCCGAGTGGTGGCCGGCAGCTGAGCGCAGATGTGCTCCGCTGGGAGGCTGTGCACACGGTGGCCGGGGAGGGAGCGCTGGACTTGGCAACCCGGAGGAGGGATCTGTCCTCGGAGCAGTAACCATATACCTGGGGGTTGGCAAGGACCCTCTAGAGCATCGGCCTAGTGGCAAGAAAGGAGGATGTTTGTGTTTATCCGAACTGTGAATTCCACCTGCTTTTCTACCCTGGACTCAGGTTCGGCAAATACGTCCTTTGTTAAAGCTTGCCATCCAGTCGGAAGCATTAGACAGTCGGAAGCATTAGACATTCGGAAGCATTAGACATTCGGGCCGGAGTGGAAACAGGAGGGGACAGGCTCCCTGCTGGTGGGGCTGGCGGTGGGGACACAGGCATTGGCAGAGGGACCGCTTCCTCGTTCCCGCTGGCCGTGTCTGCCACTTGCCTGACCTGTGCCCAGGCTTTGCCCGGCCCGTGGGTGAGGGGGCTGCTTTCTCGGCCAGCTCTCCTGGCTCCGCAGGTGCAGGCAGATGTGTGGTTGGGGCCGGGGGCTCGTGCCCGGGGGGCTCAGAGCTCAGGGAGAGGGGCCCGGGGTGCGGTCCGAGCGAGGGCGGCCAGGTTGTGGTGAGTGTGCGTCAGGCGGAGGCTGGGACTGGAGCCCTCTGTGTGAGCAGGGTCCAGGCTCTGGTGGGGTCACGGTGGGCTCAGCCCTCTTGAGAGCGGGGTCCAGGCTCTGGCCACAGCACCTCGGCGCCCTCCCATCAGCTTCATCACCTGGCGGGCCTAATGCCTCCTCTGCCCCCCTCTCGTGGGCAGGAACGCGGCGGGCAAAGACGGCAAAGAGCGCCTGGGCGGCTCGGTGCTGGAGCAGCTCCCCTTCCTGCAGAGCTGTGAGGACGAGGACAGCGACGAGGACGACGAGCTGGACGGCGTGCAGCACAAGAAGCAGCGCGTGAAGGTGCCCTCCCCTCGCCTACCCCCCCCCCGGGGGCCACCGCCCGCTCTGCGGACTGGCAGCAGAGTGCCCCTGTGGGTGCTCTCGGGGCTCTCTTCCCGGCCCTGTCTGTGTGCGGCCTGACCCTGTCCCTTCCCAGGGCCCACGTCCCCTCTCCGGCCAAGCCCCTGCCCCGGGGCTGTGTCAGGGCCCGCCTCTTCACCCCCAGCCCCGCCTTCTCCCATACCCCCTTCGGTTCCCGAGAGGCCCGAACTCTCCGGACTGGGCCAGCCATGCACTGCCCTTTTGCAGCGCGCTCTCCCTCAGGCTAGCCTCGTCACCGTCGCGCTGAGCTCTTCTTGGTGTGGCTGTGGCTCTCTGTCTTCTCCCTCAATAGACCGTGAGCTCTGCCAGGCAGGGACTGTGGGGGTTTCCTTGCTCTCCTCTCCCCAGCACCCAGAATGGATGTGGCGGGGGCCCCGGGCACTGCCAGGGCCAGATTGGGGGTCCCACGGGGGACTTTGTAGGCGCAAGCGTCCAGTCTGCTCTTGTGTCAGGACCTAAGCCCAGGGGCACTGCCTGCAGGGTAGAGTTCAGATCGCAGCTTGGCTTCACGGGAGTGGCTCCCACCCCACTTCACCCCTGCTCCTCAACTTCCCGAGCCACCGTGCTCCTACTGTTTCAGCGGTATTAACCTCAGGCAAGGCCCAGGCTCCTCTGGCCGGTAAATGTCAGTTTGGGCCTTCATGAGCCTAGCCCTGTGCCAGCAGTAACAACGTGGAGACAGAGGTCCAGTCCCTGGCTTGGGGGAGCTTGTGGCCGGCGGCATGCCCGTGCAGGGGTGCCTGTGTGTGGCCTTCCCATCAGAACCCTTCCCTGCCTCCTTCAGCCTCACCTTAGCACCCCTCCTCCAGGCAGCCCTCTCTGACCTCTCACCTGCCCTTCCTCCCCTTCCCTGGGCAGGGTTGGAGCCAGCTGGACCCGAACTGGTCCTCCCTGCCTGGTGTCCCCATGGCTGTGCAGGACCAGCTCTGTCTCCAGAGTCCCCAGTGTGGCTCAGCACAGGGTCCCACCTGGCGTGGGTGCTCAGGGAACGGACAGAGCCAGCACGCTAGAGCTGGTTTACGGGAAAGTCAGGATTGCGCTGGGTCTGGGGCCTCTACCCCTGTTCCTGCGCCCTCCCGCCCCTATTGGGATTTTCACTTCTTTCTCAGCTCTTACCTCATCCTCCTCTGGGAAGCCTGCCCGCTCGGCTCTGCTCCTCCCAGCGGAGATCATTGCTGACTTTCCGTACTCCCTTAGGCCTTTGTGTGTCTGTCACTGCGCTTGTCCTGCGGGCCCTGTGGGGTGGCTCATTGTGCAGGGGTCTCAAGCCCCCAGGGCCACTCTCTCACCTTCCAGACCTGCAGTGACCAGGCTGATTCCAAAGACCTCCAAGACTCCAGGAGTGGCTGCTGGCCTGGCTGTGTGCCTTTGGGCACGTGATTCTGTCTGAGCTGCAGTTTCAGAATTCCTGCCTCTGGGTTGTTGAGGATTTAATTAACATGAGCTCATGCACAGAAAGCCCTTGGCTACACTGTGGCTGGCCGCACCGAGTGCTCGGGCACGGTGGGCAGAACAGAATTACTCGGGAACCCTCTCTTGCGGACCCTGGAGGACGCCTGTTACGCTGCCACGCTCCTCTAGAGCCCCGGTGCCCCCATTGCCTCTCTGGGCATGCTGGCTAAACCTGGACCCCGGGTCTAACACAGGGAAGGAAGGGGAGGTTACCATGTCCTGTCCGTCTGGTCCTCCCACACAGGCCAGAGGCCGGCCCCTCCTGGATGCCTGAGCGGTTTTGACTCCAGTCCCTGCTTGGAGTGCTGAGCCTGTGGGAGGGTCAGGCCGCACCCTCGAGGAGCTTGCGGTCTTGACTGAGGCTGGCCCTGGGGGTGCCCAGGACTTGGTCCCGTCAGGGAACACTTAGGAGGGAGAAGCGTCCCCGTAAGAGATGGTGTTCGAGGCGGTGGTGGTCAGAGCGCCAGTGCTGGGGTGGGGTATGTTCTTAAGCCGGCATTTAAAGCAGAAGTCAGTGTTCAAAACTGTTAGTGAGAATTCTGGGGCTCCCTTAAGCCACTTTCTGCGGTCTTTGAGGTTCCAAGCATACATCCCCTGGATGGCACTTGGAGTACAATGTAGCGACATCATGCGTAAGACGTCATTGTAGAAGGCTGTGTGTGAAAGGCATCCATGTGGGGAAATGCAGGTGCCGTGCTGCCCCGAAACCCCGTCTGGGAAGTCTGGGCTGGGGTCCAGGTGCATGCATCGAGGAACATGAGAGGATTGGTTCCTAGCGCTGCTTTAAGACTGACAATGAGGACCGCCAGCGCTCACCTGCCCCAGCGTCCTGCTTCTCAGGTTGGAAGACCGTGCTGTTTTCTCTCGTTCCAAGAGTAGCGTGCGCTTGTCATATAAGAAAATAAAGCTTGAGCCAGCCAAGAAAGTTCTAAGGAAGACTCGGAGAACCCTTGGTAGGCTCACGGTCCAGAGCTGTCTTAGTGTTTCCGGGACGGCTCGGACCGGGGACCTGAGGTGAGGGGCTTCACTGCTCAGCCTGTTTGCTCGTGATAAATGCAGTAACGCATCGCTGTTCGCAAGGTGGTCAAGTCACGTGGGACGCTTGCTTAGCGCGCTGAATAATGCACAGAGGCTAGCGCCACCGGTCTCCCCGGGCACCTAGACATTCCAACTTGAATTGTGCGCCTCCGTACACACACTTGCACACCTGTGTTTCTCCTCTGCCCCAAAACAGGCTGTATTGCCTTTTTTTTCCCCGAGAAGTACCGGTGCTGAAGGGGTGGGGGTGGCGGCAGAGGAGGGAGCGGGAAGAGCCGGGCAAAAGCCAGGAGGAGGGTCCTGGGAGGGGATCACGCGTGCGGGTGGAGGTGGCAGTGATGGGAAGAGGTGTGCAAAGCCCCGCTGGGGGGCTGGGGGCAGGGGCTGGCAGCGCCCTGGGCCTAGTAAGGAGCGACCTCTGAAAGCTCCCAGTAGGGGGAGCACAGCCTCCGAAGTGTGTTAAGGGGAGCCTGCAGTGGGAAGGGCACTGGGGGAAGGGAAGCAGAGCCTTGGCGGGGCTCTGCTCCTCATCCTCCTGACCTGTCTGGCTTTCTCCGCGCCCAGCTGCCCCCCAAGGCCCTGGTGCCCGAGATGGAGGATGAGGACGAGGAGGATGACTCTGAGGACGCCATCAATGAGTTCGATTTCTTGGGCTCAGGAGAGGAGGGGGAGGGCTCCCCGGACCCTCGACGATGCGCTGGAGAGGGGACCCACCACGACCTGGGTAAGCGGAGGGTTTCCTGGCCAGCCTTCCTCCCGGGCGAGCTAGGGGCACACACAGCCGCCAGCAGCTGCTTCCTGCCCCCGAGTCTCCGCCGGATGGATACACTTCCTGAGGGGGGTGTGGCCCAGGCGAGCACGAGGGCCGCACCCTGGTGGCCAGGCCCTCACCGCTCCCCTGGGACATCCCTGCGGCCATGCAGCAGGCCCAGCTCTTCCTGGAGCAGGGCCTCCAGCCCTCCATGAGAGCACCTGGTCCTCGGTGGCCCCCAGGGAGGAACAGGATGAGGACCCGGTGGGGAGAGGCAGACAGGGCAGTGCTGCGTCTTCGTCTTGTTCCGGGACTCCGAGCCACGAGGCCCTCAGCCGTCACATAGACCGGCTAGGGACTGAGGCCCCTGCCAGGCTGGGACCACAGAGGGTCCTGGCGCAGTCTGTCTCCTCCGCCCGTCCCCGACTCCCACCTTGAGCCCTGCGCTCTGGGGCCAGCACTGCCTGGCTGCCCCACGTTTGCCCAGGAGGGGCTGCTAGTGACCGGAACTGGTGGGCAGCTCCAGCCCTGTGCTTTTGTCCCCCCAGAAAGCCGGCGGGTCAAACTCCAGGGCATTTTGGCCGACCTCCGGGATGTGGACGGGCTGCCCCCTAAAGTGACTGGTCCCCCTCCTGGCACACCCCAGCCCCGGCCACACGAAGGTAAGAGGACCCTCTACCCTGGCCCAGTCCCCTGGGGCCTGCGGCAGGGTGGGGGGGGGGGCTGCAGAGCTAAGCCCAAGGCTTCTGTGTCCTCAGGGTCAGAGCCTGGCCTCTAGTCTGCAGCCTCCCTGTCGCAAAAGTTCGTCTGTCTGTCTGTCTCCCTCTCTTGTCTGTCCTGCCCTGTCTGTCTGTCTCTCCCTGTCTCTTTCTTTCTAGCTGTGATTCTTGATCTTGTCCTCTCCCTGTCTCTCTTTCTGACTCCTTGCTTATCTCTCTCTCTGCCTCTCTCTGTCTCTCTCTCTCTCTCTCCCTGCCCCTCTCTGCCCCCTCCCTCCCTTACCCCTACCAGGTTCCTTTGGCTTCTCCTCAGACGTTTTCATCATGGACACTATCGGGGGCGGGGAGGTGAGCCTGGGGGACTTGGCAGATCTCACCGTCACCAACGACAACGACCTCAGCTGTGATGTAAGTTCTTGGGGTGCCCCACCCCCTGCGGGCCCTCATTGGGCATCCCACACCGAGCCTGCTCTTGCTGAGCTCTGCCTGCGCTCGGCCCCCTAGGGGGAGGATGCTGTGAGGTCATTCAGCAGCTCACCCTGGTTCCCAGAGGGGTGTGGACATGGCCGGGGGGTGGGGGGGGGGCTTGAGGGGGTTACTGAGGTGCAGGGCCTGGAAGACACTGCGGTGTAGCCAGTGCCCAGCTCCTGCAGGCGACGCTCACTTCCACGCCAGCTTACGTTCATCTTGAGTCCAGGCCCCCCACGGGCTGGGGGCAGGGCAAGGGGGCACAGCATCGGAGGAAGGGGGCTCTGGGCCGGCATGGTGCAGGGCAGATACTCTGTGCGGGAGATAGGCATTGAGCTGGTCTTTGCAGACAGAAACTGAAAGAGCAGGCATGAGTGGGGCTGGTGGGCAGATGGGCCAGGGTGGAAGGAGACGTCAGGGCCAAGTGTTCAGAACCCAGTTCCCCCGGAGTGGCGTCTGGCCATCTGGTAGTTTCTGAATCAGGTGCGTGTGTGCGTTTCCCCGTGGCAGAACAGCCACCACAGCTTTGAGCCGGATCTCAAGTGGTTGGTGATTCTAGCGAGGTTGGGGGCACTGCTGTGGGATGCCAGGAAGGGGGGCCAGGGTGGAGGCTTTGAGCAGGAGGGTGTGCCCGTGAGGGCGCCACCGCACAGTGGCGGAGCCTCTGGTCCTAAAGAGCTAGGGCAGTGGTGATGGCAGAGGTGGGGACCCTGGGGGATGGAGCCCACATGAAAGGGCTGGTCAGGTGTGAACCCCATGTTGGGGCAGGACACTGAGTTTTGCTTGACAGTCTGCTCATCTTTGCCAGCTGGCCACCTCTGGGTCCCCCCCAGAGAGCACCACCACCGTCTACCAAGGCATGGGCAGTGTCTCTGGGACCCCCCCCCAGCAACCTGCTGATTCTGCTCCCCAGTCTCTCCCTACTGTGTGTACCTGTCCCCATTTCTGCCCCCCAGCACGTGCTCTCTGTGCCCTCCTCTTTCCCTGAGAGGCTTCTCTCCTGATCCCTTAGCTTCTCTGCAGCCACCCCCATCTTCCCCGGTCCATGTCAGTTCCTTGCTCTAAACCCTTCCAGGGCTCCCTGTTTCACTCAGGGTGAGATGCAGGTTCCCGAATGTGGCTCTGGCCTCAGCTCCTGCCACTCTGTCCTTGCTTTCTGTAACCCGGGCCTTTTCTCAGTCTCCGGATCTGCTCCGGCAGCTGCGGGGACTTTGCACATGCAGTGTCCTTCCTCAGTCCCCTCCCCTGACCTGGTTAAGTCCTGCTCCCTTGGCGGCTCCTCAGGAAAGCCCAACTGACCGCCACAGAGGTGGCCAGGCTGCTTGGGTACCTCTTCCCGGTCCATTTTTAATTCCTAGCGCTGCTCAGAGTTCACAGTCCCACGTGCTGTGGGGTAATCTGACGGTCTCCCCCAGGCCCCCTCTGACATGACTGTGTGCCCAGATTGCAGCTAGTCCCTGCACACTGTAGGACTCACTGAGTGAGCGAGGAGTGCTGTGAGCGCCTGGGGCTGGAGGCCAGTGGCTGTGG